GTTGTTCTTTTTTTAATTTTCATACAAAATAAATTTTATAAAATCCGATTTGTATGAAAATTAAAATAATTAAAATGAAGATATCAATTTTCTGACTTCACCATATCATTTACATGCCCATGTTAACATGGGCTAGTGTCGGCTCATATACCCATTTACCTAACACCCTGTATAAATAAATTGAAAAATATGTGTAATAAATATAAAATATAACTCTGAATAGTGTGAGTCATTGACCGGGGCGGAGACGCATGACGCAAAGTGTTGAAAACGTATGCCCACCGAGATTAGGTGTACTATTAGTAACTGATATGAGATTCGAAAGCACTGACGAATATTTTGAGAATTAAACTCTACTTAAACAGATTACTGTATTGTATACTGTCAAGAAACAAACATCTAAGCCTGATTCTCATGCTAACATTAAGCTGAACTTTTATTACCAACTAGAATAAACATAACCACAATAAACATTGTAATCAACTTTCACAAATGCCATTTAAGCATGTTTTAATAACGTCGGCAAGTTAATCAAAGCGTCTAATCCTTTGGACAATCTGGCTGCGTTATCATTTGCCTACGACTGCGTTCGTAGTGCAAGCCCAATGAGGTTTCAAAGGCCTGATAGCGTCGTGCGGCTTATCAACTGTATCAGCTATATTTGTAGCTCTATGTAGGCGACTGCGAGTCCGCGACTGACAATGTTGCACGAATCACGAGTTTGGGGAGAAAATCTATTACGCACTCCTTCCTGTCCTTAATTTGAGTCTCGTACCTACCTAATTTTGATCGAAATCTCCACTGATTAAAACATGCAACTCTTTAAAAAACATGACTGTCGCAAGAGTTTATTTGCTCAACCCTAAAGCACTCACTACTTAAAAGATCTTGAATGAATACAAAGAAGAATATGCACGTGTAGAGTTAATTGCCAGCCCTAGTAGCGCGGGCGGGGGCGGGCGGCGCAGGAGTGGGCGCGCGACGCTAATCTCGCGGCGATGTTTATCATTCGATGATGGATCGCCGCTCCTTAATAGCTTCCTACAGACGCACCACTGTGCATGCCTCATTATTTTTCTTGAATCGCTCTTTGAACATTTTATTACTTTCTTTTGATAACTTCCCGCAGAATGCCATACAAATTGGTTGTATACGCGTAGTTACGCTGTACGTCTTTTCAGAAAGGTTGAAATTGATGAGCCTTAAAATTGAAAGTAGACACAACTACGAGTAGGTACCTATGTAGTTAGTACTTTACACGAGTAGTGTTGGTTTTGTTATTTTTAAATAATATTTTAAACTAGGTAAGTAAATAAAAAGTAAGATGTAAATATTTGTAAATACCACTTTCGAATGGATGGTAATATGAAATGTAATAACGTTTCAAAGTAGCCGCATTATTGTGCAGAACGTAATTTTATTATTGCGTAGTACACGCCAAAAACAATCATGAAAGTGCTGTCATGAAGATAAGTCCGATCGCTGGATCGTGAACCCTTCGGGCGATAACGTGAGCTTCACCTCCCCACTCTATTTCGGGAAACCATGAATATTACACGCGTTGAAATAAATTGAATATTCAAATGTTTGCTCTGATCTTTGCAATGACTGTATCAACGAAAAACTTTTTATTCTGACTTTTAAGACAAGATGGATGAAGGCTCTTTGTTGTGATATAAGAAAATATCAATATAGAATATAAATGCATAATTTTGCAACAAGAGGGCGGATGGAGGCAAATCGACGCTCCCATAACAGTATAAATCCTACGCCAGGCCCACTCGTTACACATAGAGATACAGCAACTTCCGACAGACACTGGCGGAGGTAGGTGGCGGTAAATACAAGGCACTCGAGATGCGAGGAGACAAAGTGTGCGGTATGGAGGTAGGCGGAGGAGGCGCGTTCGTTCCCACGACTATTAACCGCGGCGTCAGCCCACGCAACGCCCACGCGCCTGACTCACGCCGCATCACGCATCGTCGCCTCGACGGTAAGGGCTAACACACANGGCACTGGACACAACTACGAGTACCTTTGTAGTTAGTACTTTACACGAGTAGTGTTGGTTTTGTTATTTTTAAATAAAATATAGTTATTTTTAAAAAGTAAGATGTAAATATTTGTAAATACTACTTTGGAATGGATCGTAATATGAAATGTAATAACGTTTCAAAGTTGCCGCATTATTGTGCAGAACGTAATTTTATTATTGCGTAGTACACGCCAAAAACAATCATGAAAGTGCTGTCATGAAGATAAGCCCGATCGCTGGATCGTGAACCCTTCGGGCGATAACGTGAGCTTCACCTCCCCACTCTATTTCGGGAAACCATGAATATTACACGCGTTGAAATAAATTGAATATTCAAATGTTTGCAATGACTGTATCAACGAAAAACTTTTTATTCTGAATTTTAAGACAAGATGGATGAAGGCTTGTGATGTAAGAAAATATTAACATAGAATATAAATGCATTATTTTGCAACAAGAGGGCGGATGGAGGCAAATCGACGCTCCCATAACAGTATAAATCCTACGCCAGGCCCACTCGTTACACGTAGAGATACAGCAACTTCCGACAGACACTGGCGGAGGTAGGTGGCGGTAAATACAAGGCACTCGAGATGCGAGGAAACAAAGTGTGCGGTATGGAGGTAGGCGGAGGAGGCGCGTTCGTTCCCACGACTATTAACCGCGGCGTCAGCCCACGCAACGCCCACGCGTCTGACTCACGCCGCATCACGCATCGTCGCCTCGACTGTAAGGGCTAACACACATTCCTCACATTTCATAATCAATAAAGAAGCAAGAATCAATCAAAGCTCCTCCAAGACCCGCTGAACTGAATATTAAGACAAATCATCTAGGGAAGTTGGAAAGTAGATGACGTCGACACGGCTAAAAAATATGCAACGTAGAGATTAGGAATGGACTGGACAAACATATGATTATGCTCGTATTACCCGTATAATAACAGTGTGCGAGTGCCCTATGTTTCACGCATTTTCACGATGAAACGACTAATGCGACTGATATTTTCCTCACAATATTGCGATATTTCAGCAGTCGACGCTCATGGACGCCTCGTGCGTAGCGTCTGTGTCTGCTCGAGCTTCTTATTTTTATGACGTTTTCCTGATATTTCTATACGTAAATAACGTATCATTTTCGCTACGAGCTGGTGACGTCTGCGTCTGCTAAGACGTAGATACTTTCACGTCTTTGCACGTCTACCTGTTCACTGAGCACTATACAATTTAACGATACTTATGGTAAATTCTCGCTTTAATTCCTATTTAAAACATTTCTGACGTCAATAATCAACTTGATTAGTATTCCAATTTTCCAATATTCTATGAATGCGTCGCTTCGAAACAAACATAAAACTTTGAAATTGAAATTTTATTTGGTAGACTAAATTCAAACTGCGTTGTAGTTTTTTGCAGTGTTGACTCAATCTCGGACGTAGCCGATGGCAAAACAAATGTTTGTACTGGCATCGCGCGCGTGCACAATAAACACCTATAGCTGCTACGGTTCCCACGTACATCGGGCATTCAGATAGTACGTAGGAGGTCTGTACGCTAAAATTTCAAACCCATGAAAATATTAAATCAAATCGAGAAGTTTTATAAGATAGACACAGAATAATTGTAGATTAGTGATTATCTATTTACTGATATGTTTTATGTAAAGACTGACTGAAAGTAATTTTATAGACGACTGTATTGGATCCATTCAAGCTATGTACTTTAAATTACATGCTGGCGGCGATAAAGATTGATGAAAGAGAAAATTGTCAGGAAAATATCTGATAAATGATATCTCAATCATCATGCTACAGGACTTGCTGCTACGAACGCTGCCCTAATAGTTTTTCATCTTATTTACGGAAAATAGTCGTTACACTGAAGTTGAAGCGCCCTTTATTGGTACTTCCAGTTATCTTGGCTATGTAGGCGCATAGCAGGTGTACCTATGTCTAAACACTTCAGTAATAAGTAACCGTCCGTCAGTCGTGACGATGCGCGTCCACGACTGAGCGTGACACGATCGTTTTCGTAGTTCGCGACGATTCGCTAATGGCCGAGCCATGAGACGAGTGACTTATTATGGACATACGAGTATTAGCACGCTCACGGAGTTTGAGACGTTTTTCAAACAACGAAGCCTTAATACCTAGTCTTTTTGGAAACGCATTCTTCAAACTTAGTCTAGGCAATTAACAGTGAATAATAAAGAACTGTATTTACTCAGAGCTAACTGAACCTTATTCCAATACGATGTAATATTCACAAGAAAGTAAGTAGTGAAACTGAAAATTAAACAGCTCAATTTTTTATAGGGAAGACCTGTCGGTACTTAGTATGAAAAATTTTCACCACCCGTAGTATAGAGTCAATAATTTTTCAATTATTTTCAAGTTTGCTAAACTTTCCATGTCGTATTGTAATTTTTTCATTTATGCTCTATTACAGAATTATTAAAACACGTAAGAAGGTAACAGTAACATAATTAATTCAGAGTGAACTTTGGTGCTAATTTAAAACAGGACTTATGCACATAACATCTTAACAAATAGTAACGAGTAGTCTATTTATGACTCTATAAAGCAGGCAAAATATTAACATTTGAATTAATTATTGTAAAAATTAATAGATTTTTGAAAGTGTGCTATAAAACACGCAAATTACAAAAACATTTATGCGCGTTGATGTCTATTACTTAACGACTATGTTTATAATCCTTATTAAGTTGACGCAGGATCTCATTTTAAATTATAATTTTCTATATTAAATACAATCTTAATCTTACCACATTAAAATCCAAATTAATATTTACGAGCATTAATACTACAAACTTAAGTTTTAATATTTTAAGATTGACACTTAAAATATGAAAATTATCTCTTTTCAAAAATGAATTTCTAAATGAAAAAAAATAAGTATAACTTTTTATTAAAATAAAATTAATTTTTAAATGATTAATTACTCACTCTTCTGTTATCGCTGGACTTCTTTTGCTCCGTCTGCCCAGGCGAGCTCATGTTTCCGCCGACCACCACCGGATTGGAGGCGCCCTGCTGCGGCCCGCCGGCTATACCCGTCACCATAGTGTTAAAATTGCACACTCGAATCCAAGTCACTGCATCAAATCACTGGCTGAATTTTCACTTAGTTCTTTTTTCGTTTGTTTTTTTTTCAGCGAAGCGCTGGCGTACGTCTGTCGCGTGGAATAGTCGGCGCGCGACTGGCGGATCGTCGATGTCGGTCGTCGGTCGTCGGTCGTCGGTCGTGGACGGCACGCGACCGAGCACGCTCCCGCGGTTCTCGCGTGCCTCCGCATTATTAGGCCGCCTGCTCACAGCCTGAAGCCGCGTTAGATAAGCCTTTATAGAGCAACGTCACATGTATCTAAGTGCTCCTTTTGTAGTAGCTAGGCAGCGAACGGACGGTCCACGTGATGAAAAGTAAAATCAATCCAGCTGGGAGGACTTAAAATAATTAGATTAGAATTCAAAATTAATAAAAAATAACTCTAAATAGTAAAATCGATATAATTTTAAGGCTTTATACTGTAGAGTCTACAGGATGATAAGCCTTGAACCATTTTAACTGATAACTCTGTCTGCAATACATTTTTTTATTGTTTGTTTTTAAAATCACTGAAAGAAGTACATTAATAACATTATAGACTTGATTAAAATGCAAAATCAAGTATTATCTTACTTTAATTCTCAGCCAAAAACATTTCGCTTCAGCATTGATAGAGTCAATAAACGAAACGTGCCCACTAATTCTAGGGTACACAATACACTGTATGAATCTCTATCGAATAATTAGTACCGCAATAATCTGCTGCATTACAAAGTGAAGGCCAGTGTATAGAGGCTTACTATTCAAATGGTGATGGCGCATCTAGGGTTGCCAGGTCCAGAAACACAAAAGCTGGACTTTGTGCTTCATTTGGCTGGACATTTTACCCTAAAAGCCGGACATAACATCACGGGGGCGGGTGCAATAAGAGTGTCCTAGTCCACGAGTGAGTACCTACTATCATCATCGGCTGCCCATTGGGCAATGCCCAACATCCTGATACGTGCGCTTGATATTTTCTGTAGCTCGACTATCGCCTGGCGCGGCAGCCACATAAAAAGCCTAACAAAAGCCGGACAGACCGGACAAGACCGTAAAAAGCCAAACATGTCCGGCTAAAGTCGGACACTTGGCAACCCTAGGCGCGTCGGCGGCTTCACAGCGGGCGTAAATCCGCCCGCGTCACCGGCGTCGCTTCAAAGCGTGTGGCTCCACAGATAAATAAGTTACACAGTACAGCCGTCAAGTACTCAGTCCGAGTAGAATTAATTCTCAGCTTTTCACGACAATTTCACAAAGTTACTCAACTATTTACTAACAGAATTTTACCGCATCGCACCTAAAGTTAACTATAAAAGTACAGGGTGTAAAGTTCATAAACCCTCTCATCTTTATCCAGGTTGTACAGTTTCAGATATTATAGCTGTGCAACAGCCAAACGCTTAACATAGCAGTTTGGTGTGTAAAATGGCCAATCAAAGCTTTAAAGACGATCTTGGAAAGCTCTACATTAATGAGCAAATCACTAAACTGTAGGTTACCATAGTATGGTGTTTAAAACTTGCGAAGAATAGAAGTCAGAAACTTATTCTAGATATGTAATGATTTATTATAGTAGTAGAGTCACGAGATATAAAAGAGAGTTCGTAAAAAACCTGGGTAAAAACATCATAATGAGTACAGCCAATATTTGAATAATGATGTGTAAAGTTTTCCGCTACTGCATCACGTAATCCAAGCTAAGTAGAAAAATCCATAGCCATATTCGTTGCATAAAAACCAACTGTTACAAGTTACAATACTGCTACGAACACTTCCTTATTATTTACTTATACACTGAAACAGTATTTCAGAGTTTTTATAGATTACATAGAAGAATATTACATATTGGGATTTTAGATTTGACGATCGATCGCAGGTTTTAAATCCATGACAGGAGAAAACGCGGCTTGGATCATAATTTAATCATAATTTAATCATAATTCAATATTTTTTTACACTAAAATGTAGAGCAAGCTCGAGTTTTAAACACTTCCTCGATTCAATTTAATTAGAATTCAAGTTACAGCCCTAAATTAGTTATCCCGATGATCTTGAATGCCGTAGGATCTATTATGGTTATGGACCATCCTACAGAACGAATTCCGTTTGGCAACCGTAGATGAATATGCAAATCCGACACGTCCGACCACCCGGCCCGACTTCTACACGCCTCAGGTCTTATTCAAATGCCCTATTGTCAAACGCCGACTGCAACTAATTACGAACGAACTTGCAGGTCGGAGGAAACAATGGTTGATACGTAGGTACTGGCAACAGCACATTAGACCATACTATATTATTGCAAAATAGAACCTAACACAACTACATAAGATGCTACTGTAAGCTTGATGAGCTGTCTGTACATATCGCACGCTTCGACTTTGTTACAGCTCATTACGTCGCCTGCGCGTGGAATTTAACGGTTTTCTATGAAGATCGAACTTTGTACAAACTTGTCATGCATGCTGAATTCGGTTTCGTGAAATTCGTGCAAATCAATTTCTAAACCATGCCCAAACAAAATCATAACTAGAGGTTTTACCATTAGTTAAACACTGTCATTAAGAGAAACATACTAAACCCCCTGTAATTCCCTGAAATCCTCCTAACATCAAATCGGCGGTGAATGTTTTCATTTCATATTGAAACAAATACTTTAATAATATTGCATAAGGTGAGTTAATGAAGCCTTTATGATGTATTAATGAAAAATGAAACGTGACTAGAGACATGTCGATTCGTAGTCGATTAAGGTTACAACAAATTAGCGTTAACGACACTATTTAAATTAATGTGGCTACGTTGATTTACATATTGTTACCAATCTAACTTCGAACACTGCCTACTCAACGATACGTCTTATTAATTTTCTTTGCCAAACAACTTGTTTTTGCATCAACAATTCTTGAATAGAGTAACTGTTTATTTTACAAAAAAACAAACTGTTACAATTAACGGTCAAAATATTTTTAAGGTTCCATTACTGTTGTATACGCCTCTAAACAAAAGATTGCTCTATATTCCACATTTTTATGTCTTATTTATGGAGCACGGTGGGCAAACAGACGTGCTATTGAAAGAAGTTTTTTGTTTCAAATTTTTTTTACATGCAAATATGGACCGTTACAATTTTACTTGCGTTTTTTGCGCTAAAATGGAGAATCGTTTTTTGTTTAGGTACAAGCATTTATTAGTTTTGGTAACCAAGTTATTTTTTTCGTTATACTAATTCTTATTTTAAATGTTTCCTTAAAACTCTTTATTAAATCATCCTTAATCTGTAGGTAATTTTGTAAGCTCTACGCTTTATCGTTTATTTAATTATTAAAACCTAATACTTTATGTAGGCTCTTTACTATTCTTCAAAGCCGTAGTAAGCAATAACTTTCTGTTTAACTAAACGATGAAACCACTACCCTCACCACAGTTTTCACCCTCTATTCTATTGTTTATTGTTGAACACTACTTCGCGGAAGGTTCCTAAGGGCACGCAGTAAACCTTATTGTCTATGTCAACACGAGTTTTATAGCTACCGAAACCAACAGGGCTTTTCGGAACCGCTCTATAATTAAATTTCTGAAGAAATCCTGGAAATATAAGAAGATTCGATTCATTGTTCCGTTACGGTGGAACAAAGTGCCCGCACCATTAACACTAGAATACAAATAAAAGCCACTACAATATTTTTATAAGATAAGCCGAGATAAAAATGAAATTATGGAATTCCTAATATGAAAGATTCACACGAAACATAAATATTCATTATTTTCATGGAACCTTAAATGTGTATGTTTTTTAAGGAACATCATTACCCATATTATTTGCCGCCGCCCCTTTTCGTGTTTTATTGCAGATAAACTAAAGAAATGCATAAAACAACCCAAACCTTTCTGCTACGTTGTAAAACACATGAACAACGAAAAGAGTTTTGGACAATGGTTGTTATTGGCGAACCCTTGCAATTAACTGTACAAAGTATTTCGCAGTTGTTTGGCAAACAGTCCGCCTTTGTGCTTTTCACAATCATCCTCAACCCGTCAATTTGGGTGCGAAGGCCGTCGGCTATGGCGATCTGTGATAAGTTCCCAAAACGATCGCGCCGCCAAAGGCGCTGCGCCGGCGCACGGGGACAATGCTAACGGCTCGTTTATGGCGGTGGCCTTTTAAAGTTTCTGTTGTAAAGCCGATATTTGCGTTGTTTGCATCAAAGGGGATAACGGTTCTTGGGTAAGAGTAATTAGTGGCATTTGTCGTAGCATGTTTGGAAAATAGAAAAAAATATGGTAAAAAACTTAAAACATTTTTGTTTTACAGCATAATTAATAATTATCCTTTTCTCTTTGCGCCTAATCACTCTGTAAACCGATAAACTGTTTCATATTATGTCTAATCATAATACCTACTTTTCATAAAAACTTACCTACATAAATGACTACGTGCACAAGGTTCATAATATTTTTTCGATTCGCGATGATGGCGTGTATGCAACTGAGCCAAAATATCAGAAACTCAATTAATTTGTCGAAGCATGTTTGGAAAATAGAAAAAAATATGGCAAAAAACTTACAACATTTTAGTTTTACAGCTTAATTATCCTTTTCCCTTTGGGCCTAATCACTCTGTAAACTGATAAACTATGTGTATCTGTTTCATATTTATTTATTTATTTAAACTTTTATGCCAAAATCTGTTTCATATGTCTAATCATAATGCCTACTTTTCATAAAAACTACCTACATTTGTCTACGTGCACAAGGTTCATAATATTTTTTCGATTCGCGATGATGGCTTGTATGCAACTGAGCCAAAATATCAGAAACTCAATTACCCACCCACCTACCTCTCTCCTTCAAAAAGGTTACACGGTATAAATCCCGATAATTAATTCAGTTGTTAGTGACCATGAAAGTTTAAAACACATTAAGCTGCCTCATGTTCTCCTGCAAATACAAGCTTGCAGCCACATGTTTTCCGATGCCTCGATTTGCAATTCAGGATTTTCGACCAACACCTAGTGTTTTAACAAACTGTACCCCTTATTTAAATTCTAATCAGTACAGAATGATGAGTGCGTGATTGCGACATCGGGGGAGCGAAGAATCGCACCTGCGTTTTTTTGTAGCGTCCACTTGAAAATCGAGGACTGTCATAATTATATGGCGAGCCACCTCGTTACATGATAAACGTTACCGTAGTGTACAAAAAACACTCTCCAGGGCGAAAACAAATATTAGTATTGACGCGGTCGTTCACACAGGCAATTATGCGCCGCGCCAACCGCCGATAGTGTAAAGATTGACGGCACATTTCGTCTGCACCCTTATTTTGCCCGCAAGTAATAATTTTCTCGCCGAAACGAGCGAAGTTAGGAGCCGCAAAAAACTAACGCGTCGAAGTCGACTTCACACGAACGTTTTAAAACGCCGGAAACGCTTGGATGCACGCACCGAAAATCATCAGAGCTAAATACTGTATCTACAGAAGATACAAAGTATACTTGTCGTGTTGCAATATAATATCCCGACATGAATTCCAACGCAATGGACTTGAGAACAAAAAAGTCATTCCATTTATTTTTGGCACATTTAGTTATTTTCACAACACATCCTCTAATGGTCATAAAGATAGATTCTCTGGCAAGCAGTTCAGTTTTTGGAAGGTGCCACACACAAATTAGTGAAATAGAAATCGGATCTGAACACTCTTATTTCAGTTAGGTATATTAAAGTTCCTTATTTGTGTAGCTTTTGAGTATCGCCTGAAACCTGCTAATAAATGACTTTATACATAATAAAATTATAAATACAAAATAAGGGTATCGTGTAGCACTTCCAGCAATGTTTGACAAACAGATCAATGGTTCTCAACAAAAAACGCTCAGCTTTTTCGTAATTAATCTTTACAAAACACAGTAACATTACAAGAAATACGTAATACAAATAATCTCTTACCGACAAATTGCGTTGGCATTTGAGCAGAAAATACGCACGTGTATAAGCGGTCATTATTGAAGGTTACCCTTTTAAAATCACTCTGGTCCGACGCGTTTTAATAATTTGTTTATGTAAATTCAGAGAGCCGGGCTCCAAATAATACTCTTTATTTTGTAATATGAAATTTTTATTTCGCTACAAAAATATACATAACTTGGATTAAACACTGATTTATTTTAAACTATACTTATAGTTAATGTCAAATTACTTATAGCATTGTGTCATACCAATAATCACAGCAAAATAAACGTAGCACAGCCACTTATGTGGGAATTAATTGTATTTTTTTTAAAGTAATTATTGGATTTCATAGCTTTTACACAAATTCATAGAGATTCTACGAGTATAACGTATTACTGAATAACAAATAATATGAACGGTCACATACATTCGATTGTACATAACATTTCGACTTTACATTAAAAATCGAATCGCACCTATAACATAAATGTAGAATAGAGTAAACACATCATATTCGATATCAAATAGAAGCTCCAAGTAAGAGACAAGGTATGGACATCTCAGGAATGCATCTTACTAATAAATGAAGGCAAGAAAACTACTCGTACGACTCAATTTTTCTCATGTCATGTGATCGGTCTATTTAAAATCAAATAGGATGTGTACTCTGTATAATTTGATGTCTAACAGACAATACTTGTTAATACATGTATGTGACTTCCATTACACTTACATAATTCTTCCATGCATCTATTACAAATTAAAAATTAAGTATTCATATACGCGGATCAGAAAAACTCAAATCGCATTCACTGATAAGAATAACATCATAATAAAATATGTGATATTTAAAACAATTAATCACAAACGAATACTGCCTGATTATTAAAAATATGCAATTAAGTAAACAAATTAAAACGATGTTGGAATCATTAGTAAATTCTTAGGTGGTAGATGTTTAAAATAACCACCGAATATTTTTAAATTAGACTAACTATAATTATAATGGAAAGACATTGAGCTATACTAAAACGAAATCATGAAAATGATACAGTAAACAATTTTATGGAATACATATACGGTATGTTCAAATTGCTATGTGATGTGCACGTGGCGTTCGAAATATCTACAAAACCGGGGTACCCGGGCCTTTCAGCAATCTCATCTTACTAATATTATAAACGCAAAAGACTAGTGTGTATGTATTATGTTATCTGTGCCAAAAGTTGGTAATTATGGATGTTTGTTACTCTTTCACGCAAAAACGACTGAACGGATTTTGATGAAACTTTACAGTATTCTTGTTTATACATCAAAATAATATATAGGCTATAATTTATAACGATCTGTGACAAACTGAGCTTCACACAGGCAAAGCCGTGGCAAAGGCTAGTACATAGATGTCACACGCCCCGCACACGCCACACGGCAATGTAAATGTACAGTCGACAGCACATCAGACTACGGATGTTTATTGCAAATTAGCACCAAATGCAACTGCATAAGATGCATAAGTTTTCCTCGATGTGCAGTCATCTGTAACCTTTATTGCTATAAGGCCTCGTTCCCAAGGGTACACAAAAAACGTTGAGGAAAAATTGCCACCAAGCAAATAATACTCGAGACGGCTTTACGGATGAACACATAAAGGAATAATTGACGAATTGCTATTTAAGATATTTTGTAAAATTATAAAAATAAAGCGTGTCAAAGATATTGCAAAAACGTTCGCACGAATGTATGCTTACAATCGCAACTAAGATGTTAAGGTCCGATTCGACCAATCCGAGAATAACTGGCACATTCACAGTTTCAGTATGGGAAATATGTCAAAACTGACGATTTATTCTGAGATTAATATTTATTTACTCTTGTTTGGTTGAATCCACCCTAAGGAACTTTGCTAAAAATAAGATATCTTTAAAAACTACAGTCATGTGTATTACTCACATTGCATTGATGAGTTGTCTCTACAACTACAGATTAAGTATTCCGCTTTTAAAATTGTATGTTGTAAAAATTTAACCCGGCGAGGATGTGGTACAAAAGGTATAAGTCGAGGATGTGGAGGGTCTTTATGACCCTGTATTTTATTTGTAGATTTTTCCCTACTAAGCGGTAGTTAAAGTAATATTTATCAAGAAACTTAAGTAATAGTTAGTAGTTAATGGATTTAAATTGAAAAATTCACCAATAGCCATATACATGTTTAGATAATAGAGCTATTCTAAAAGTCTAAAAAATAGTGAAAGGACAATGACCAAAAATGTATGGAGTGTGGTCCAAATGTCCACCACTAAAGAGACCTATGTAGTAAAATAGTCTACTAAATACTGATTCATTATAACCAAACCGCAATCAAAAATATGCTGTCAGTAAAAAGTTATGACTGAATGAAAAGTCATGTTTTTTACCTTTTCATTTGAAAAATGTTCTTGATATCATTATATCCATCGCACATTTTGGATTAATCTATGCATGTTATGTCATGTCGCTTAGTGTGCCGTGTTAGATTATCGCTAAAAGAAAAAAAAATAAACTCAGAAGAAAGATAACAATATTGGATTATTATGGTCGGATGGTCGCTGCTCCGCCCCTATTGGTTGTAGGGTGATGTTATATAACCTTAAACCATTCTTGATAAATGGGCTATCCATAACAAAAAGAATTTTTCAAATCGGACCAGTAGTTCCTGAGATTAGCGCGTAAACTACTACAATTTTTCATACAGTCATAACTTTTTACTGACAGTTTATTTTTTTTTCGTCCCATACTAAAAGTTAATCTCTATTTAATGGACCATAAGCCAATATAGGTCTCATTAGTGGTGGACATTTGGACCACTTTTGGTCATTGTCCTTTGCGTTATCTTGTAACAAAAAAGCAATTTCATCATATTTCATAATATTAATTAGTATTTTCTGGTAATCAATATCTTATATCATTAGTTATTCATAATTAGTCTTCTAAGGTACAAATTAGCTCATTCTTAACAAAATAGAGCAATGTGATTTTGGCAAAATTTCGTCATTTTTACGTTTTCGCACGTCTATTTTCTTTCACCAGCGATGGTTGACTCACTAGTGGCGTGCAAAGGGTAGCAGAGTTCATTTACTCCAGCTACTGAGACGTTCAACAGCACACGGCTACAGAATAAATAACTGTACACAAAAATATGAAGCACGGGGTCAAATTGACCCCTCCACATCCTCGCCGGGTTAATAATAGATTTTACGTTTTAAAATCGTAGTAAGTTAAAATTATTTACGATACAGATTATTTATAAACTTTTTTAATGTTTACAAATAGAGAGAACCTCTTTATTTCAGCAAAAGATTGTATTAGTGTGCATACAATTAAGGCACCAACGCACTAGGCAGCAACCATTGTAATTAACATACTTTTTTTAAATCTTTCGAAGCCAAGCTGCTTAGTGCGTAGGGGATCTTAATTTGTGTATTTAAAAGATGGAAATGGTGAATCTTTGACAAAATAACCAAATTTATTTTAATAGCAATAAGAATACGTAGGTATTTATTGTTGCTAAGCACCATAGATGTGACCTACTTAACACGAGTAAGTTCATTGCTTTTATTATAATTCGAAACTCTAATATTACTAATTATTTGGATTACATTTATAAAAATATTAACTCCACATTTATCACATTGGGCTTTTAATATGTTTTCCTTTGTAATTTCTCTACTACACTTATTAAATTACCGTTAAATAATAGATTAATCGATAAATAATAATGTTATAGTTAACATCAAATGTACAAAAGTAGTTAAATGTATTTTACTAAAATACGCTATATTTCATAACAATGGTACGCAATAGGTTAAGTAATTCATTTTAAAAGTAACGAATACTTTCTTATATTAACCCTTAATATGACAGTGGGAATATAGTTCCCGCCATATTTTTAACAGTATTCCCATGTCTTAAGGTTAAAAAAATAAAAATGTGGATAGAAAAGTTACTTGTATTTGCAACATTTTAACCAGTGTTTATAAGGAAATATATTGTGCGTGAAAATGAACGTTTAAAACCCATCCAACCAACGTTTAATAAAGTCTACAAGAAGTAGCATAATTTCGAGTTAGCTAATCGAACTATTACTCGATTTTGATCAATAGTTTACCCTTTGGCGATGACATTAAAAATAAAGGGATACCTAGTATCTTAACAANCTTAACACGAAATTACGCTCAAAGTTTTTCAAACGAAAACACAGATACGTTTCTTTATTTTCAGTAGTTAGACCAATCAAAAAACAGAATCTTTACTTGAGATTGAATCAAGTTTTGAGCGTTGATACATACTTCAATCAAGTGGCCCCGGATGAGACTACATTAAAACGATTGGATCAATCTAAAAAGTTCGTAATGTAAAATGAAGGAATGTTTTATTAACATACAATTTTATAAATATTGAAGTAACTTTTTCCAGGGGTCTATTGGCTACGCAGAACTTACAAGTCTTTTTCGTACAGTTCTTATACAAATACTTTAAGTTTGCTAAGAGTCTATCTATACCTTAGCGACCGCGGCATTTCATTTCCCAAACACCCAAATATCAGATATCGCTTAATTAAGAGGACTAAATCATACATGATTTGTATGTTACTGGATAATATTAATTAAGATAAAAAAAATTAGGTCCGCACACTTTATCAGGTAGAACGGATTTTATGTTCTACCAAAACACAAACTATAGGTATAAAAATATTATCAATATTTGACAAGTTTGAATTTTAGAGATCAGTTGATTAAAAACTTTTTCAGTGAAGTAGGATACCTATTTTTCGGCTTCTTTAATGGCTTTGTTTGCTTACAGCCTTTAGCTTCGCTTCAAATTAGATGTTTTATTGAGAATATCAAAGCGACCAATCGTAATAGACCCCGCCCGCGGGCGCTACACGTTACACGTCCTCACACGTAAATGTACAATGAGTGTCTCATACGAATTACGATGCATCAACAAGGAACATTTCCGCACATTGAACGCTACCACGACGCTACACACGAATGTCAGTTACATCGCGTGCTGCTTGCTAAATCTACGCGTCGCGTACTTTTTACGCTGCACGCGTACATCTTATTACACTTACATCAAAAAGTAACATGCATTTACGTTACAGAATTAATGTTTTGTACGCGATGTTTAGCGCATATTGCACGCTACACTGGAATTTGACATACGTACGTAGGTAAGTGTCGCCTACGTAGCACGCTGCACTGGAATTTTATATAGGTAAGTACGTTTTAGCAATAAAAACTATGCACGCTACACGTTAGTGTCGTACGTTCCACGTGTATGCTGCACTGGAATTTCATATACGTACGTTAAGTTGGAACGATGCGACACGTAAGTTCCGCGTTACACGCAAGCGTCGCGTACGTTGCACGCTACACGTAAGTGTCGCGTACGTTGCACGCAAGCACAGCGTGTCGCTATACGCTACAGGTGCGCGTAGCGGGGGCCGCGGGCGGCGGGCGCGAGCCCTAGGACTCCGGGAACAGGATGCTCTCCACAGGGGCAGACGCAGTCATGTCGTCGTTGTCTGGTCGCGACCAATCCTGCAACAAATAGGTATAGTATAGTATTTGCCACAATATTTCTGTTAGATGTGTGGCGACATCTATCGACACGCCACTACAGTCATCAACCAACAGATGGCGTTGACACCGATTACCTTACTATGGCACACATCACCGCGCCTACAAACCTGCATCGCGGTGACAGAGTTCTCTGCTTAACTGAGTAGGTATATAAAAAAACCGAGATGGCAAATAACCGGTCATTGGTCCCCGAGCACAGAAGCGATTCCATCTTAGCTTCCTTATTGTGATATCCCACAGATGTTTATGAAAAAAACGCTGGCCGTAACAACGTATTACACTTGAAAATTTCGACGGGTTCATCCAGTGCCTGAGTAGCTCAGATGAAGGAGCAGTCGCCCGGCAAGCGAAAAGTCGTGGGTTCGATTCCCTTGGGCAGTACGATTGTTTTAAGTTATTTATAATTTTCAAATTAGTATAGTATTTTCGTTTCTTTCAAGAGGAAGACCTCAAACCACCTGGATGACGAATGTCCAAAAGGACATGATAGTATTGGGACTCCACAAACTAGACGTTCAAGATAGAATCAAATGGCGGCGCATGATAGGGAAAGCCGACCCCGCGTAACGAGATAAGGTGAGGCAGAAGAAGAAGACTGTATTGTCGTGTTTATGTTCTAGTTAATAAAGTTAACACTCTTGATACAGGGGCTCTGTTGGTTAGGATTCCTTTCAGGTGGTTTACACTAAACAGGGTCACTTTGTGCTATCAAATGTATGTTTTTTTTTAATTTGAGCATTTTGAATTTCAGAGAGAGCGCGGCTTACGCGTTGCTCTCTCCTACGTGATTTAGAATTTTAATTGTTGAAAGATTTTAGGTTGCTAACTATGTTTTCAATGTGGGCAAATGTATGGTTACGAAATTACTGGTTTTAGTGAATCAATCTGATGCTCGAAAACAATTACGATTTCACAATGATAAGCCGTGCGCTGCCCGAGTCCAGGCGTTACCCGCAACCTTCATCCTCTATCCATGGAGTCATAGTATAAAAGTAGATAAATTAATATAATGAATATTATTTACCTGTTCTTCTGTGCTTGCAAAGAATAAGTAGAACAAATTGGCTCCTAAATCGATGGCCGCGGCCAAATAGAACACCACACGCCATTGTCCGAGTGTTTGCTGAAACAAATTGACATTGTTATATTTTTAATTATACTGAGTATACGACATCTAATCGATAACCTTTTATCGCGCCATTTTATCCATGTTACGCGATAAGACCATGCATTTGTCGTCGATAAGATTTTATCACGGTGCTTATCGGCCTACACGGCTTCCATTCGCATTATTCCTGTTTTTAGTTATAAATGCGTTGAATAGAGCTCTGTGATTGGTTCGTGTGTCACCCTGTGCTTCCACGCGCACTGTGAGACCTCATAGTAATGTTTGAGAATACGGGCGTTATTCGTGGTCATGGTACAGACCTGGTCTTTGCCGATGATGCGTCCGATGGCGTAGGGCGCCATGAACCCGCAGAAGTTGCTGGCCGCGTTCGTGATCCCATACATGGTGCCGGCAAACTGCGGCGACAGGTCGATGTGGTTCATCTGGTTGCCTGGGGAATCATTATTCAATAAATACACAGCGCCATCTCTTATTATAGCGGTTAACCACAAAGTAAATATATCTAGCGGAATAGACCAACAAAGAACTGAGCGAGCGAGATGTCACTAGCAGCAACACTGTGTGATAAAGATTGCAAACACGGTTCTGTTTGACGTGATACTGTCGCCGTCACATCAAACAGAACCGTTTTTTGCAACTATTTGACAGTTCAGAAACACGCAGTGGCACGCTGAAAATTTGAACACTGATATATTTTCAGATTTTACGTTAATGATATTGTGGATGTTTGTGAGAAATAGTGCTTCAGAAACGTGGTGTTTCTGAAGCACGAAATTGGTTTTCTTATGACAGCTCGTGGTTGTTGCTCTATTCCGAAGGAATATTAACTTTATGCGCTTAACTTAGTCAGTGCCTGAGGTATGGGAGCGACATGGTAGCGATGACATTAACATTATGACGTGACAAAAACACCCTCCCGCGCTGCTCCCATAGCTAGGTTATACATATAGCCATAGTGTAGCCAGGATCTACAGCTTGACCGCCAATAAAAACCCAACCAAGTTTGTCCCAGGGGAATGTTATAACTGTCATTGGACCCGCAACGAAATTAATCAGAAGAACATAATTAAGAACACAATTAAATATGGCCTAATTCTTACCAGCATACACGGCGCCACCGAACGCAGAAGTGATGCTTAGCAACAGCATGACAGCCATACGGTCGCAGCCTGCCCACGCGATGCCCAGTAACCCGAAGGCTGGGATGAATGCGGCTGCAAAAGTTGATTACTAAGTAATTGTGACGTCATTGATACGTTTACATTAATAAAAGTTAATGCAATTTACAAAAGTAGCTATGAGACGAACATATCGTTGTAAGAATCTCTTTTTTGTTATTGACATATTATTATTTATTATTGACACAATTGTGCTAAGGTTAAATACCAATAAAAATGCCTCAAGTACTGATAATTTTATTATCAGCTAATAATAGTTATAGTACTACACTTTTGTTTACACGACAGTAATATCCAATAATAACTCCACAAACAATACCAACAGTTGGTATTTTTGATCAAACAATAATAATACCTAACCATCATTAGTGATTGAATTAAAAGAAAGAAGATATGTTTTCTTTTATCAAAATAACAAATAAACAGTGTCTTCTCACCAACAGTGTTCCAGAGTTTCATGCTGGTCAACCTCGACAGCCATCCTTTGACAAGTATCCAATCAGCGAATATACTAATTAAAATTCCCGCAATCCATGAGGTAAGGTAAGGGATAGCTGATAATCGGGCGTTCTGTAAATTATGACAATAATTGTATGTTACAAGAGGCAGGTTTCTTGACAAAATTAGAAAGTGACAATAACCCAGTGGTGTCGGTGTCGGGTCGGATCCGAGGAACGCGGGTTCGATCTTCGCTGTGGTGTGTGAACCCATGCACTCGTAACAAACATTTAGCTTACTACGAGTGGTTAACGGGACTATTAGTAATTTTCTTTAAAAAAAGCTGTAAACCTCGTAAGATCTATGGTACTTACGAGTAAAGTATGGAATCATCCCCTTGTGTTTTGTTCCGAGCCATCATAAGAACTGAATGCCTATCAATGTATCTATGGTATTAATTTAAAGTATATAATATTACCTTTAAAATGGTACCATTTTTATTTATCTTCTATTAGTCATTTAGTTCTTACATCATTCATAACAAATAGAGTGATTCCATACTTTTGCTCGCGAGTGTATATGTATAACCACCACCCATAATTACAAACTACTAAGAATAAGCTAAGTTTCAGAGTCCTATGCCAATGTACTGCAATGAACCCCTGTCTGGTAGATTAATATCTGTTTAAACGTTAAACAAACCCAATTTGGCAAATAATGGCTGACCTGTGTCATGTCTTATCAGAAGGAACTGCACATGAATGGAAACTTACAGAAACGATATCGTAATGCAGAATATTGTTCATGTATGTGGGCAACTCTATCAACTGCGTGTAGAACAGCCATGACTGGCCACACTGCGCGATGAGAATGGCCCAAAGCGGTACGCAAGTCAAGAATTTACACCATGGTATAGACATAGACGGCTTGTCCTCCTGGAAAGAAATTAGATGATATGAGAATATTAGTTTAAACCTTTTCTTTAGTATTATATGTATTATAGCTTATCACGAAAACGCACGAACTCTAGGTTTACATAGCGATAGCAGTAGGTCACATTTTATCAATACCTTTGATGAGAAAATATGCTATCAGAAGATCAAACGACAGGAAAGGAGGAATTTGCAACTTGTGACTCGGCAAACGCGATTTCGCGCAACATGATATTGTTACCTAATTCCACAAAGAAACTTATTTGATTTGATTTGATTGTGCGACGCATTTTCATGACTCGAAAATGTATATGTTACGGTCAAAGTGATAAATGTGAAAATTATGAATAATCGCCGGTTATTATGAATAATTACCGCATGATTTGGTAAATGTGATTAATATGAGGTCATTTATGTGTGTATAAAACTAAATAGGCGGCTTACCCCCGCCGCACCTTAACCTATTTTTCACTTTAAATCAAAACATTATGATATAGGCATCATGGAAAAGTAATAATATTGTGCAAGAAACATTCCAAACTCATTATGCCAAATTATATTAATATATGATATAAAAACGTTCAAAAGTTTGGCTGTACACGAGCACGTACACAAGATGTTGTTCTCTTTTATGAAATTTGTTAGTACTAAGGTTGAATTATTAAATAATCACTGTTAAATGTGATTAATTTATCACTTTTACCGCGACTGATGGTAATTATTCATAATAACCGGTTATTATTAATAATTTTCAATTTATCACATTAACCGTAACATATACATACTTGTATACTTAGTTATTGCTAGCTCTTACTCCAGAATTCATGAAACTATTGAGTGATATGCGATTTATGAGCTCATCATTGTTCAATTAAGTTGAATATATGTTTACTATTACAATAAAATATCGCGCTGAGTCACGCGACGGAAGACCGCACGTGAGAGGAGAGATCTTACACTAACATACATGCAATCAGCAATTCTATGCCGATTAATTTGCGCGCCTATTTAGGAGTGTACCGACTATGTACCTCAGTTGCGCTTATTATGTAAACAGCTGTGAGGTCAGAGTGGCATGATTCACATCTGCGGCCCACATTACAACAGATAAGAATACGTCATGCTATTTGCAAATAACATTTGTCGAAAATAGTGAATACAACAAAGTGTTTAATGCCTAAGATTTGTATTATTCATCACATTAGCATACTGCCAATTGTTTAATTTAAAAACTTGTGCATTTGCAACTTCATTCCTGATAAGATCCATTATCATAATTATAATAGTGTTTTTATTATATTCTGTAGTAGATAAGATTATTTCTGATTTCCTTTTCGGTATTTCGGAATTCTGTTTAAAGATAATGTAAACAGCATTCTCTTAGTTAAATAGCCTAATGTTGGGCCTTTGTTTACTGGATAGCAACCTGGCAGTTGCAGGTTTAAATCTCAAAGGGAGCATAGCATTAATGTAATGGCTAGTTAATTAATGTAGATGTTGGAAAAAAATCTCCAACATTTATTTAATACTTTAAATTTTCATTGTTTTTATTATGTTGTTCTGTTATGCATCTTTTATAATCGAATAAAATTTTAATACCTGAGGTCCAATAGTAGCTGTGATATATTCAATTTCTTTAGGACATATCCTGGGGTGCGTCTGTGGCGAATCATAGACCAAAAACATCCAAGCTATGAACCAAATGACACCAAGGCAGCCAAACAGGTAGAAACACAGTGGCCACCCATGAGCAAAGTCCAGGGTGCATAACCACCCTGATATTGGTAATGATATTACTGTTCCTATGTTTGAACCTAAAAAGAAGATTATAAGATCAAAGCCAAAATAAAAAGGAACCTAACTAAGTTTAAGAGCCTTACGCCCGTTTTTACCATCAACCCTAATTTTTAAGTGACCCCGATGGTAACACGGGAATTTTGTTTTCATAGAGGTCACTTAAAAATTAGGGATTGGTGATGAAAACGGGCATTAGCCTTACAGCCATAGCTTAGCTGTAAGGCTTGATAAGGGAGATAGGTAAATAAGATAAGGTCTATCAGATACTGAGAACTTACCAGCATATACATAAGCAGCAAACTTTGACCTCTCCAATGGGGGTATCCACCGTGCTAGCATGGCGTGCATGGCGGGGTATGTCACCCCCTCCCCAAGCCCCTCCAGCACCCTCACGACTATAAACAATTTGAAGTCTACAAACGCTGCAACTGGACTAAGAATGGTGAAAATAGCTGTAAGTAATACACCAACTCCATACACAAGCTTTCCTCCAAATATTTCCGCAATTCTTCCTCCTGGAATCTGAAAAAGGGTGGAAAAAGAAGTATTTAGTAATTTGTCATTAGTTTTTGACTGAATCAGTTATAAGTTACAGAGAAAAATTATACCTGAGTAAGAACATATCCAAAGAAAAATGAACTTAAAATGAGGCTTTGTTGTTCAGTTGTCCAATCAAAGTCACCAGTTTTCTGTGAATTAAATTTTAAAACACTTAATTACATTTATAACAATGAAGGAAATTAATTAGTAATAATATAAAAATGTAAATAATTGATCTTACAGCTGGAACAGAGCTGTTGCTAGGAGTAGTGGCCGGGCAGACGTCTAATGTCTCGTTTGATGGAACTTCCGTGGAGTTGATCATGGCAACTATGGCGACAGATAGGTTCACCCGCATTGCATACACATTGGCGAAACCAAGGAAGCCCATAATACCCAGCACAGTACGACTTTTGATCCATCCTGTAGTTTCCTCAACTGAAACAACACTAAATTTTGTAACCAAAAATAAAAAAATAAGAGCATACTCATTGGAGTTTGAATTATCTAACTAAATAATGTTTGTGTGTAATACATAGTTACCGAATTCTTTTATTACATAAAGAAATGTACGCTTTCATAGTTTCATCCTTGAAAATACTAATTCTTTGTAATAAGTACTTGTCAAGACATAACCAAACCAACCTGGTCCATTATCTATAAGATTTCGGTGACTGCTGGTCACATCATTCTCAATATCGGAATTAATAATAGGACTTTCTTCCGCAGGCGACGACATGGTTTAAAACACAAAAAACATTCCTTCCTTGTTCCACTTACAACTCGAAATACAGTTACCAAGTCAAAGGTAAGAAGTACTTCAGGAATATCTGAAAAATAAGATTATTGCGATAGTAGCACTAAATTGATTAATGATCTCTTCGATCAATTGAGTGAGTCATGCACACAAGCTCTTTTTGAAATTGTTAAATAAATTTACAGTAAACAAAGAACTCCGTCCTTCTCCATCTAGCTATGTTCCATTGAGGCAAATAGTTTGCAGATTCTCTTAAATATTTCTTACGATTTAGGACACCTTTGTTGTTTGAAATAAAATATCGTCGAATAGTAGCCGAGACAAAAACAAGACATATTTTTTAAATAGGAACACAACTACGTCAAAAATCTGTCAAAATGGCATAAATGTCAAACCCGCCTTGCAGCAAAGAAATAAGTTACTATTCAGCCTATTTTTTTTCTTTAGATTCAAAAGTTAAACCTAAATATTTATTGAGTGAGATCATAATATAGCCAATAAATTGACCATACCATTTTTTTNCGGTTTTTACGTTGATTTCACATCTCCTGATTTATACCTACGATTTGTTCTAAAAAGTTAGTGATTTTATTTAGCCTAGCGCGGCGCAAACAGGATCACTTCATTTTCCCTATCGAATAGGATAGTTAGATATTATTCTGTGCCATACACTGTTTTTAAGCCAGTCAATAAAAAACAGAACATAAAATATTTCCCATTTATTAAACTACAAAATTTAAGTAACAAAACTAAGTACAAAAAATATCTGCCATACAAGAATTTAATTTTAAAAATATTTCTTTAACCAACGCTTTTACTGTGCAAAAACGAGACACAATAGCAAAACAACATTTAATACAATGGTACACTGCACTGTCAACGCGTTCAAAGGTCACCCATCACCCTAAACAACATTAATATTAAGTCAGTACATAGAAAGCATTAGATATATAATGCATTAAAACTCTAAAATAAATTAACAATGACTATGATTAAGACAAAAAAAACAAAACAACAGTATAAAGAAAACAGGTAATTTGACTTTATTACCCAAACAGTTCTATTAATCTCTTCAACAAATGCATCAAAATGAGAACTAAGCACCATATTTTGTAGGACTAATTAAAAACATAGTAATATCACATTTATTTGTTGTCTATGATATTATTCTTTACAATGTTTAGATTTATCTGTAGGTTAATTCAAGTTAGTGGTGCATAGTTTTAAAACAACCTTTCTGTTTTCTTAAAATATGGGCCAGAAGCATTTACTCATGGTAGGTAGAAGTAAGCCCATGACCACAGTGGAAATAAGATTTACACTATGGTTATCTAAAATATTTCTGCCACTTATGTGTTTAGTTGTTAAGCTGGAATGTGAGACAATCTTGCCATTTTTATCCAATCCTGAAAAAGATAAAAAGCATTGTGTCATATACTGCTATCAAATAATTTATTAATAACATTACATAAACAATACCTACCAGAATATTGCACTGTAGCTCCCATGATTGAATCTATAACACTACCTACAAACCCAGCAAGGGCACCATACAAAANGGATAAAATAACTGGCCACTGTGGGGGAGCATTTGCCCATGTAGCCTTTTCTGAGAAATATAAAATTGCTAAGTAATATGAGATTCCAATAATGAATCCTCCAACGATACTGAAGAAAATTCCTATTGGTGTTACTCCTCCATTTGTTCCTTTTGGCACTTTTTTAAAAGTTGTTATTAAAATTGGATCAGTCTTTGCCAAGACTGTCCCTAATTCAGATGCCCATGTATCACCATTGCAGCATGCAAATACACCTGTAAAACATTTATATTTTCTTTAGTAAATCAGTTCAAAATTATGCAATTTAAATTTTAGTAAAATATGTGAATTACCTAGGACTCCCATACTAAGCCAGGAGGCTCTGTAGTCCTTGACAAAGTCTATAGGTCTCTCAGATGCACCAACATCTAATAAGTACAATAATCCTAGCTGGGTTGCCATGCCACCATTGCAAAGTACTTGTATCCAATTCCTTTGTCCACCTAAAAAACAAAAAATATTATTAAGAATAATGTGTTGTGTGCTATTCCTATGAAAACAAATAGATTTGTTTACCCTCTTTGAATTCTTCTTCAATTTTCTTTTTAATGTGTGACCCAAGTTTGGTAGCTTTTGATGATGTCATAAAGAATGTAAACAGAGCTGCCAGAAAACAAAAGTTACTCAGAGTCAACACAAGACCCACGAGAAACCCGAACACAGCTCCACTCAGATTGACACTCTTCTTTTTATATCCATAAACTGCCATTGCAAGGGGTATAAAACATGAAGCCATCCACCTGGCAGGTGATATTACTACTGGTTCTAAAAAATAAAAGAGGAATATTATGTTAAAGTAAACAGATTATGAGACATGTAATTAGTTAAAAGCTAAATTATATTTACCGTCAAGTCCTTCACTGTCTCTTACAAGTTTTGAATAAACTAAATTCATGATCCACATGGACATGGACAGTGGAATTGAAATGGCACATAAGAGGACCGTTAAGATATGGTCATTTTTTAGGTATTTTTTATTAGGATCACTGTTAGAAAGTTCCATATCGTCGTTTCTTGGTTTTCCACTTGAATTTTAATAAATATAGCAGCTTTATTGTACGTTTACAAATATACCATTAATTTTATATCTGAAAAATCAAAGTAATAATGGAATTCAATACCAAATTATTTATTTTAATTTCACAGAAAGTTAAAAAATACAATACAAAAAATCACCAAAACAACTTTCTTCTACAATTTGACGTATTTGTTTGACAATGACAGACGGAAGTTAGTTGTGACTTTTGCTTTTTTTAATGAAAAAGTTTTTATTGCTATCTACCGTTAAAATATACACCGACAACCGTAGACAATGAAAAAATTTTCTCTGTCTACGCCGACATACCGACAACTTTCTTCACACTTGAAGACCACAGATGAGACAGGGCAGTCAGTCGTTAAAATATGAAACGTCAAAATCAGTAAACGTAAACGAGCAATGGTAACGAGATCAACTTTTCTCTATGGAGAGGAGATCATCATCAAACATTGAAATTGTGTTGTTTTATTTCACAATAATTTTAATCGATAAATGAAATTTGTTAATCATTTCTAAACTACAATAAGATCGCGTAAAAGCTGTGTACCGACCGCATAAAATGGCTAAAAGATCTGCATCCGAAGCGTTCGATACAGCAGAGCAGGTGGTCCACAAGAAAGAAGGAAAAAAGCATTCTTTGGATTCGGATGAAGAAGATAGCGGCGCTGAAGAAGAAAAAAACAATGTTCTCAATGCTGATGACATCGAAGGTGAAGAAGACGGTGTTGGAGGGATGGAAGGTGAAGTGAGTAATGTTTCTTTTTCACATATTTTTTTTATTTATTCTGGCAAAAAAATCATATGACTCAAGCTCTGATTAAGGCCATAGTGCTATTTTGATCTCATCGACTTGTTGTATTCATTGAAGTTGTATTAACCATAACAAATTCAGCTTTAGTCTTTTTTATTTGTAAGTGATATGGTAAAACAAATGTTAATAATGGTGTGTGTGTTTTCAGATAGCTATAACGCCATTCAATATGAAGGAAGAACTTGAAGAAGGTCATTTTGATACCCAAGGACATTATCATTGGAAGAAAGAAAAGGAAGTAAGAGATGGCTGGCTAGACAACATAGACTGGGTCAAAATCAAAGGCAGACCAGAAGATAAATACAAAGTTCACAAAGATGATGACAACAAGGGGCTGGGTGATGAATCGAGCAGTGATGATGAAGAACCAGAGGAGAAATTCAATCTGATAGACAACTATACAGAGATTTTGCAACATATGAAACCAAAAGAAACTATTGCAAAAACTTTACAGCGTCTTGGTAATTAATTGTATACCTATCTCTAATTAAATTCTGTCGAAAATTTTGATAAACTGATTGAGCCACATTATATTTGTGGATCTTCATTTGTTTTTAATTATTTCCATAAAATATTTTGAATATTACTGAGTAATAAGTTTTTTTTTAATTTTTCAAGGTGCTGGATCTAAAATCTCAAGTGCAGAGCGGTGGAAACGAAAAAAAGCAGGCATAGTTGATGAAGACAGTAAACATGTCACAAGAGTAACTGAGCTCGCAAATCAGATTTTAACCAAACTTGGCAACATGGATGTATACCAAGAAACTTATGAAAAAATAAGTTCAATTATTGCTAAGGATAAACGTAAAAATGATGATGTAGATTTAGATATGTATGCAGATGATTTTGATCAAAAAGAAAAACAAACTCTTGGTCAAGATAAAACTGAAACTTCAAAGGATGTAGAAGAAGACAATGAGCCAGTTGAGGTAAAATGGGAGTTCAAACGCAGTCAAGATGATAATGCTGAAATATCAGGACCGCATTCAACAGAACAGATGCACAAATGGGCCACAGAGGGCCATTTCGAATCAGGTGTTTGGGTAAGAAAACATGGCGAAGATAGCCAGTTTTATAGTTCCAACAGAATTGATTTTGAATTGTATATGTAATAAACTACATTAAACTGAAATGTGTATACAAAGTTTAATTTTGTTCATTAAAATGTATTAAAAAAAGAAGATGTTTTATTAAATCCATTTTTTTTTCTTAACATTGGACCTAATTCATTAATTTTTTATTACAACCTGAGTTCCTGTTAATTTTTGAAGTTCAACCAGTTCAAAACAGTCCAAACATCAACTCTTACGCGCAACAATAGCAGTAATGGGTTAGGGTGAAAAACAAGAATTTGAGTTAGAGCTAATGAGCTATCCATACAAAATTTCTCAAGTGCTGTCTTTATCTATCTTTACGATTACACACTCTTTGTACACAAGTGTCATCATGGCTCAGTGCTACCAACATAAAAGCTACGAAATAAGGATGCAGCTGATTTATCATAATATTAATATCATTATCGATACTTTATATTCATTTTATTCGTCCTATAAAACTAGAAACAGAAAAAAACTAATGAACCAAAAAAGTAACTCTTACTACTACCACAATCAATCATTAGTAAGACATTTTTATATTTTCGAAGGGAATAAAAGTTATCCAAGTGGAACAATGTCTTAAGTATTGTTAATTATGATAAATCTAAAACGTTAAAATAGCGGTATCGTTATAGCCAATGAGATGCTGTCATAGTGTAAGGCAATATAATGTGAAAGATGAGTATCCAGTGTTTTATTTATGAGAATAGATCGACCGGCCTCTAATAGTATCTAACTTTTAGATACTAGACTTACCCCCTTACTAATAAAAAGTTACACAGTTGTTGAACACTGTTTTAAAATGACATTGTGCTTCCTCGCCTTGTCCGGGGGAATGGGTGAGAGAGCTATTGCTGATTTCATCGTTTTAACAGGTTTTTTCGTCTGGCAACACTGGTTTCCCGCCCTTTTTCCTGCAACATAGACTACAAACCGCGCGAATCATCCCCTCCACCAAGTGTGGGCGCCCATCATGGCGACCGTCCATCGCTCATTGCGTTGCTGAACTTCGCAGGATTAACAAGGTTAAGAGGAAGTCCTGTCAGTTTATTCAGAAAAAATATTCAACATGGACGCCTCATCGTCTGGTGATGCTGAAAGGAGCCGGAGGAGGCGAAGAAGACGAAGGGCACCATCAACAAGTTCCTCTTCTTCAAGTAGCTCGATAGAACGGGCTAATTGGCGGCATTCTGCAAAAAGAGCTAAGTACCACAATTCCGATACTTTATTAGAAAATTTGTGTAACCAAGTTGAAGTATTAACGAATTTTATGCATAATATTGTTCAAAACAACGAAATCCCAAGTCAATCAATTTTGCCGGGTGCTACAGATAGTACACCCACGGCCACCTTAGAAACAGAATTGCAAAATGAGGGTAGTAAAGAGTTTTGTTTAAAATCCTTGCAAACAACATTAAAAGAATCTGGTTTTGGTAAAACTGACCAGGATCGATTTGACATCATTAACTCATTGCAACTATTTGGGTCACCTGATTGGTTGAACATTAATTTCATTGATACACAAAAATCTTATTTATCTAAACCTGGTTTTGTCGAGTTGGAAACGAACGACGATTTGAAACCATACGATAAAAATAAATTTCTACCCTCATGTGAACGCACGTTCGCGGCTTTATCAAATGCCATACTTTTACAAAGAGGAATGTTGCAAAATAATGTTACTCAATTGTTGACTTGGGTGAAGGACTTGCAGTCCGTCTCCTATGATGAATTTAGTGCTAAAATCAAGGAATTATTTTGTGAGGATAAGGATTACAATGAAATTTCTAACAATATTATGCAAATTATTTGCGGAAAACGAGCTTCAATCATTAACAATCGACGAACTAAACTTTTGAAATCGGTTTCAAATAACTTCACGGCTGATAAATTCAAAAAGATCCCACCATCTCCGGAATTTTTATTTCAGCCGGATCAATTTAATTCTTTGCTAGAGAAAGAGGGTGGTCCTACAAAAGTTTTTCAAAAACCCCAACTTGCAAAAACAACTAATGTTTCCTTTAAAGGACAACCTCCAAAATTTGCTCCAAAGAATCAATATTTAACCTCCTTTCGAGGAAATACTAACGGACCATCAGTTCAGAGTTCAAAACAAGACTTGTCATCGCGAGGGAAACGAAAGTACTCTTATGACTCAAATAAAAAATCTAGTGGACGACGTCACGGCGGAGATTCCAAAAGACGTCGTTATGATTGACTCGAGAGTGTTTCAAGCAGGGCGCTTGAAACATTTTCTCGAGAGGTGGGTAGCTCTAAAATCTCCAAAGGTGATTTTGAATATGATTTCAAATTTTCGAATACCATTCGTAAAAAAGCCCCCGCTGATTATTCCAAATCTAAATTATTATCAGACTCCGGATACCCCACAAATGTGTATAGAAGTGCAAAAAATGATCGATTCAAACATAATCGAACCAGCTCAGGTGAGTCCCAGTTTTGTTTCACCGTTGTTCCTAATAGAGAAGACGGATCAATCATATCGACCAATTTTCAATTTAAAATGCCTAAACCAATATATTTCGGTAAAGAAATTTTATCTTGTGTCGCACTTCGAGATACCCAAATTCCTTCAACCAGGCGATTGGTTGACAAAAATCGACATGTCACAAGCTTACTTTCACGTGAATGTAGCTCAAAGTCATCGACGCTTCCTAAGATTGATTTTCAGGCAAAAACTATACCAGATGACATGTCTTCCATTCGGTATAGCATGCGCACCAAGATGTTTCGCAATGATAACAAATTTTTTAGCCCAAAAGCTAAGAGAACTGGGAATGAGGGTAGTAGTATATTTGGACGATTTTTTGATTGTGAACCAGAGCCGAAGTCTGCTTCAGCAGCAGACCTCGGCTGCAGTACACTTACTTCAAGTACTAGGTTGGATCCTAAATTTCGAAAAATCTATATTGTGCCCCACGCAGGACCTAGAGTTCTTAGGGATTCGATGGGACACAGCCTCAAATCGAAAATACCTTCCTCAGCAGAAGGTACTAAAACTTCGTGTGGAGTTTCAGCGACTCTTAACGAGGAAAACATGCTCATTGAGGGAAGCCCAATCGATACTAGGAAGGTTGAACTTCGCAAATTATGTAGTCCCTCAAGGTCGTTTACACTGCCGCTTGTTTCAGAGTCACCTACGAATCCTACGCCAGGGACATCCAAAGCAACGACACAGCCTACCCAAGGAAGTAATAGAGGAGCTGCAATGGTGGCGTCGATCGGTGAGCGAACACTCATTAATTCACTTACCTCAGGTCACACATCACCTTGTAACCGATGCATCAGATCAGGGCTGGGGTGCCCTACTGAACGACACTCACCTGTCGGGTCAGTGGGCTCCTCATCAACAGCGCTGGCACAGCAACATCAAGGAATTGGTTGCCATCCAGAAGGCAATAGCAGCCTGTGCACACGACCTTCACGGTGCCTGTCTTTTGATCCAATCGGACAATACGACGGCGATGGCCTACTTACGCAACCAGGGTGGGACGAGATCTCCAATGCTAATGGCACAGACTCGAGAGGTATGTCAACTCATCCAGGACTTACAGATGGTAGTCATATGTCAACACCTACCGGGATGCTTCAACGGCATCGCGGACCGCATGTCTCGAGGAAAACCAATCCCGGAATGGCATCTCCTGCCAGAGGTAACTTCGGAACTATTTCGGACATTTGGTGTTCCACAGATAGACCTTTTCGCATCTGTTCGAGCGCACGTAGTTCAGCGCTACGTGTCGATGGACCCGTGGGACAAGAGAGCGGAGTTTCACAATGCCTTCAGCCGGCAGTGGAATTACAATCTAGGGTGGGTGTTTCCACCCCCGTCTCTCATACCACGAGTATTAATTCATCTGAACAGTTGCAGCGGCCTATACATAGTGATAGCACCAAAATGGCCGAAATCGTTTTGGAGACCAGACCTCCAGAACAGAGCCCTCAGCGGGCCAGTTCAAATTCAGAACCTGAGCGAGACGTTAGTGGACATGACCACAGGTTACTCACTTCCAAGGGTAGAGGACCTTATTCTGGAAGCATGGTTGATTGGAGCTGGGACTCTCTCCTCCAGAGTTGGACTGTAGAAGAAAAGGCTCTGCTGCTTAATGGTTGGCGTAAGTCTACGACGTTATCATATAAACCGGCGTGGAACCGCTGGGTGAAATGGTGCGCGGAGAATAATGTCACAGTTTCAACTCCCTTGGCTAAAGACCTGGCAAAGTTTCTAGCACATCTTCATTTGACAGAGAAATTGGCGCCTGCTACAATTCATTTGCACAAGTCGGTAATATCGACTATATGCGAACCTCATGTAGGTAAAAAATTAAGCGAGGACATCTTCGTAAGACAGGTACTAAAATCTATTACACTTACACGACCAAGAGTTAAAAAAGTGCCAATTTGGGATCCGCAGCTTGTAGTCCAGTGGCTTAAAGACAATAATCCAGAAGTTNTACATTAAAGTGTTGAAAGGCTTGTACAAACACGCCACAGTGACAGTCCGTTTTAAGATCAGGACCCGAAACCTATCCAGTTGTAGAGAGGGGTGAGACAGGGAGACGTCATCACCACCGCCCTGGACGATGTTTTCAAGCTTCTGGGCTGGAGCGGATTCAGCATACATATCAACGGCGAGTACATAACCCAGACAGCAGACGATATCGTAGTCATGGCTGAGATCGTGGAAGATCTAGGCACAAAGGCTCGATGGTCTCAATAGAGTCTCTCAACAAGTGGGTCTCAAAATGAACATGGACAAGATTTAAAAATCATGTCTAAAAACCGTGTTGCACCCACTCCTCTAAAAGTTGGAGACTCTATTACTCGAAGTTGTTGAATATAATGTATACCTGGGGCAAACAGTCCAGTTAGGTAGGTCCAACTTCGAAAAAAAGGTCAATCATCGAATCCAGCTCGGCTGGGCAGCCTTCGGGAAGCTTCACGATATTTTCACGCGGCTTCTCCGTCGCGTTGCCTCTCCGCTTTAAATCCACTTTGAATCCGCTTGCAATCCGCCAGGGTGGCAAGGGCCTTAAAACTCAGAGGCACACTGATGTTCAAATACCGTAGCCGAGTCCTAAAGCCGCAGCACGCGTTCGCCACGAAAAGAGTGAGCAAGACTGCAATATCTCACTCACACGTTTTATGCCTTGTTTATAACGACTAGTCTTAACGCCCAGTTAATAAAACATCGAAACATTACAAATAATATCACATATAAACAAGAAAATTTATATTAAAACTAAATGTATTCTGTCGAGAACACTGAGAATATTCCCGGGAGCGTTCTCGGTTCTCGAGAATATTCTCACTGGGAATATTGCCGGGAACGAGAACTTTCTCAGCGGCACATCTCTAGGTAGACGTATTCATGATTTGACACTTTTAAACGTGTCTTCTGATCATTTGGAGCATGACGGCTCCAATATTATACTATGGCCAACTTTTGGCTCGAAGACTGACACCACCCGGCATCAGCAATCGGGGTGGAAGCTGATCCCCCACGAAAATCAAATGTTGGACCCAGTGTATTGGATACATAAGGTCATCGAATTATCAGCTACGAGAAGAGGCTCACTTCAGCAACTTTTTATTACAACCCAAGGTAAGGCGAAGCCTGCTTCCAGGACAGTAATTGCTAATTGGGTAAGAACTATTTTTAAGGCCGCAGGTATTGATGCTAGCCCAGGAAGCAGTAGATCAGCTGTTGCATCGCTCAATTGGCTTTGCAATGTTCCAATTGACAAAATTCTTAAAAAAGGTAATTGGAATCAGGCTTCGACCTTTCTTAAACATTATTGTAGGGAAATTAGAAATACTAGGAGTAATCAATTTATCAACATGTCAAATTTATTTTTACCTTTAGATGATTAGATAATGCTAATAACTAATAACCATAATATTATAAATATTTGCTTTTTTTATGAAGAGTTGAAATAAAGTTTAGTTTTCTTTATTTAATGTGTTATAATTTTGTACCTTAAACTAAATTAATTTACAATATGTGGACCGTTATGGTCAAGGCGCTAATCATCTATCCCTCACCAGGTGTTAACAGACATTTCTCACCCATTCCCCCGGACAAGGCGAGGAAGCACAATGTAGAGGTTTTACCTTCCAATAAAACCGCCATTGTGCTCCGAGCCTTGTCCGGGCATTTTATTGCCCCTGGTGAGAGCAATGAGCGATGGACGGTCGCCATGATGGGCGCCCACACTTGGTGGAGGGGATGATTCGCGCGGTTTGTAGTCTATGTTGCAGGAAAAAGGGCGGGAAACCAGTGTTGCCAGACGAAAAAACCTGTTAAAACGATGAAATCAGCAATAGCTCTCTCACCCATTCCCCCGGACAAGGCTCGGAGCACAATGGCGGTTTTATTGGAAGGTAAAACCTCTACATTTCCATACTAAACGTCACTTTAAAACACTGTTCAACGAGCGTGTAAGTTTTATTAGTAAGGGGGTTAGAAGCGAAAAGTCATAAACAAGCGATTTAAATTTTAATGTTATGATATAAAATTGTACACAAAACAACGAATCTTTTTTTTTCTTTTTATAGTCATAATAATTATGCTATAGCCTAACCAGGAACATAAAAACCCTGGCATAGAGGCACTTCAATTGCATTTGATAGTGCAACACTGAGTACAGTCGTACCTGTGTTAAATTAATAGGCTTACTTTATGTATCAGGATTCAGGATTACGGACTAATTTGATATTTTCATAAATTAACGAAAAAATATTATTATAGGTTAACCTGATTTAAATAAATTAAATGAAACCATCAATCGAGCTAGTAGATTAATTTTATTATTCATCAATAATCAAATTCAGAACTTGAATATTCAACTGCAATGTCTGCTCATGAACGCTTCAAACTCGGTACTTCTTTCCTAATCCCATAAAATTCAACACTTAGAAAGTGTCAATTTTTTTAAAATAGGTAGTTGAAACAAAACACAGCTAATTTTCATAGTGGACTGTACTATACGATAAACATGTCAGTCAATTTGACAACCTTTGTCGGAAACATTATTCTATGAAAATTTGTCCGAACCCTTAGTATTTCTCTTCGACAAATACTTTAACACATTGTGAACCACTTTTCTTTCACGACTATAAAAATATTTTAGCAATTTAATTCATAAAACCAATTGCGCACATTTAAAATAAAGTTTGTTTACACTTTGACAGCAATAGACTGACATGCAAGGTGACATGTCAATGAAGTTTTCAGTTACTGTTGCCATTAAAAGAAATTAGTACCATTAGTTTTCCGCAACATGGCGAGGGTTTTTATGTTCCTGGTCAGGCTATAAAACTAAATGGAATGTGAATGAAACAAAACATACTCGCAAATCATATCGATAGGTTTTGGCAGCACTATTTATATGTCAGTTGGATGTTATGTCATTTGTCAGTCAACGTCAAACTAAAAGCCAACAGTCAACAGCTGTCAAATGGGTTGCAATTCTTGCAAACGGAGCTGTAGATGGGAGATAAGTTTTTTGTTCGACTGCAAAACAAAATGTTGATCGTGTCGTAGTTACAATAGTTGTGTGAATATAATTTTTGTAGTGAAAATGAAGCCACTTATAGATTTTGACGAATGTCTCCGTGATTCTCCTAAGTTTAGGTAATGTTAATCATTGAAAGTTATTGATAGAAAGTGAATTTGTACGTGTTGTGTTTGATAATTGCTATTGTATAACTAATAATGTAACGTTGTAGGGAACAATTGGAGACAGAAGAAGCAAGCATTGATTCCCTGGAGCTGAAGTTGGATAAGGTTCTCAAAGCATGTACTGTTATGGTGGAGTCTGGCAAAGTATACATGAGTCATAGAGGGTGAGTGAAGCTGTGGACTACTTTCACGTTGTTTCCTTTAGATGTTATTTGGAAACTATATTATTTTATATACATCATGCTAAGGTTACTATGTAAACATTTAAGCAATTTTTAATTGAATTAAAGCCACTATTCAAGAGTTAATGACACTGCACTAATGATGTTTAAATAGTACTCAAATTCGTCAGTTACTTTGGAAGCAATAATGTACACAAACTGAGGAATAAAAATATTGTTTCCTTATACAGCCAGTTTATTTATCATTTTGATTAATGCTTTACTGGTAGAAAATGAATAATACAACAGCATTATCTTCATTATTGTGTTGATAATGATATAATAAGTTAAACTATGTAGTGCAATAGATTTTTAGAATAATGAAATGCACACACCTCTTCAATTCAATTTATTAAAGAATACAAGCACACAGGAAAAGCTAAGTTTATGCAAACTATTACATATTACTTTGCAGGACATTTACTAATGCACTCTGGGACTTAAGTGGGAGTTTTTCGGAGGACCCAACAGTGATGGCCACCCTCAACCGCATGATACATGCTTTGCAAGAGATGAACAAGTACCACTCTATATTGTTGGACCAAGCTTCTAGGACTGTACTGAAGAATCTCACTGCCTTTATTAAAGTGTAAGTTATTGTTTTATTAATATTTAAAAATAAAGTGGAATGCAAAATTCCACTTACAATCACAATACTTACCCCTGCCTGTGTTCACAGATAATTTATGCAGTAAATGACTACATTTTGTTATCAATGTTCAAACATTATACTTATTACATTATTTTTAAGTACATGCTAATTATATGTTTGTTACAGTGATATTAAAGGTGTTAAAGAAAGTAAGCACCATTTTGATAAAATCTCCAATGATCTGGATATAGCTTTAAACAGAAACTCACAGGTAAGGCCAAGTTATTGTCAAAATTCTTAAATAAACAATGTTTCTTTATATTGTATTATAATGATAATAACAAATGACATTGGGAACTTTTTGCCCCACTTTTCGAAAAGTAGCGGACACAAACGAAACCTATCACAGATGATACATACTAATATGCAATGAATTTCCGTGCATTTTTTTCTCTCTCTTATATGGGAATAATATTGAGAAAATGAAGTTTTAATATTTTATTTTATTTTACATTTAGGTAACATTTTGACGACCTCGGTGGCGGAGAGGCGCACACACCGGTTTTCAAGGTGTGCCGGGCCAATCCTGAGGTCCCGGGTTCGATTCCCGGCCGGGACAATATAGAAAACGATCTTTTCACATTGTCTCTGGTTTGGATGTGTTGTAGTTCGTCGTTCCCGATTTCCATAACACAAATGCCTTAGCTACTTATTTTGGGTTGGAGTAATATATGAGATGTTGTCTAATATTAATTTAAGTATTTATTATATTTTATTTATTTATATTATTTTATTAATTTTTTTTATTTATTTATATTATTTTATTTACTTTTATTGGTTACTCTGCAATGCCAAACAACATAACATATAAAAATATCAAATCATTTTAGACAAATATATTTTCAACTTAGACTCGTCATATCTCAGAATTCCCATATATCACAACATAGCGCTTTAAGTGAATATACCTACAAGTATAAAGCTTTGAAATAAAATACGTTCCATCTTTGTCCGCCGTGGGGCATTTTCTCATATTAAAGTTCCCAATGTCCTTTTATTTATTATTTTATTTTATTTGGAAAACATACAAATTTTGTTTATTTGTATTGCTATGTAAGTTATTTTACATTTACATCAGATCTGGCAGCTATCTAATGATATACAGGGTGTTACATTGTTTTATATGATTAAAAAAAAGCCTTGTTTGTACATGTAACAGTTTTTTATTCTTTGAGACAATTTTCTAGTGAATATTTCTGTTTATGACATAATAAAAAAAAGGAAAGTAATAAATAAAGAGAAATAGCTAATATTGTTTTTTTATTTGATCCTGTGTAGGTATCTCGTAATAAAGTAACTGATGTGGAGGAGACAGTTAATCTCTTGCTGGCAACGCGCTCGTGCTTCAGACACACAGCATTGGACCACGTGCACAAGATCACAATGTTGCAGGCACGGAAAAGGCATGAAATACTTGCTACTGTAAGTAACTTTAATATTGAACTTTTTTTTTTGCTAAAATGAGTAAATGTTGTCCAATCCTTTTTAAGTATATTATCTAAATTATAAACCATCATTGTTTTGCACCGCCTTAGTCTCCCTAATTGACCTGTGGTTGACTGGCAGAGAATGTCACCTGGCATTAAGTCTACCACTGTACTGTATTATATGCAAAAGTATAAATGAATAAAATGTTCAATAAAGTTTAACAAAGTATCCTTTGAGTTTATGGTTTATCAGCATAATTTTAATATTGCCAGTGCTTATTGATTGTACCTACATGATATCAAGAAAAACAACATTGCAACTCTCTTATTTCCATAAAAGTCTTTGTAATATCATTTACTTTAATTAGGTCAGTAATGTGATTGTCGTGTTAAAATTTAGTATGAGCGTCGTGGGTTTATGATGAACCACACCCAATAAGTATTTCATAAACTCACTGTCAGCACGCAATATGGGTTATCGCGAACGTGTTAATAAACGTTACGCCCATTATATTATTTACTTAGGTATTTATGCTATCTAAATTTTATCGTGAAATATAAATAATGTTTTTTGTTAGATTGGTATAAGTATCACAATGACTGTGACCCGCTTTAAGAAAGTGCAGTAAAATGCACATTGCATTTTTTTATATTCTGTAGTAGGTTTTTATAAAAACCACATTTCAAAAGTCGCGGACATCTCGGGGGCTTTCAAAGATTCTAATAGTCGTTTGGCGCTATCCTAAACATTAATGAATTAGAATAAACTCCATTTAAATTAGTTTTCATCAACTATCAAATTGATAACAACTTTTAATAATTTTCTTTAGTTTATTTTTTTTGTAAAGAGACTATCGTTTGATGTGTCGAGTTCTAAGAGTCATCAATTAGTTATTTGATGTTAAGCTCAAAACTACGACTATGCCACCGATGCGACTGTAATTGTTACACAGTACACAGTGTAGACAGACAATCGTGGAATACCATTTATTCGTGAGAACTTTGCTTTGTGCGTTCTTTATCGTGGATAATAGTTTTTTAGACGTGATTCATCATAATTGTGTTTTGTTTACATCATTCATTTATTAACCTATAGCATAGTTATCATCGTAACTTACGAGTATGTTGAATTTTTCAACCAAAGCTTAAATAGGTAGGTACAATGTTATTGAGAATCAATTTTTTGAACAGTTTGGATAGATACATTATAAATAACACTTTACAAGAAAACAAAGAAATACACAAAAGTGACAATGCTACATACAATTTCAGCGACTTATTGCTATGAAGCAATCTCTTCCAGAGAACCTAGAGAAGTTGTTTAGTTTTGTTTAAATTTTCGCAAAGATTCTTGATACTTCCTCGTGTATTTATTTACCATTTTTCCTTATTGACTTCGGACTAATGACCGCACGGACACGGGTTCGTTTTGATATAATATTGTAAAAAGGTACCTACTACTTACCTATACATATTATAATAATTGTACTTATAATATACGGACGGCAGTACATAGCACTGTGGTATCTTATGAAGGAAGTTATGGATTCTACATATTTTGCTATAAAAATATGGGCTACTATTGACAAAATACTTAATTGATTGTTGAACACCACATAAAACAAGTAAGAAAAGAAAGACATAAAAAAGACGGCGTAGGTAGTTTACGATTTCTTATCGCTATGAAGCGATCTCTACCAGACAACCTAGAGAGAAAGAACACAGTTGTTAAATAAAGTAAAAGGGAAGGCGGTGGGTGATTGATATCTATCTAAATATATACAGGATGTTAAGTAAGTGGTTATATGAGCCTTAATTAATTATTTTAATTTTCATCCAAATCGGATTTTATAGAATAAATTTGTAAGAAAAAAAAAAATGATGATATCAAATTTCTGACTTCACCATACCATTTATATGACCATGTTAACATGGGCTAGTGTCGGCTCATATACCCAGTTACCTAACACCCTGTATAACTCAAAGGTAACTGACTGACTGACATAGTGATCTATCAACGCACAGCCCAAACCACTGGACGGATCAGGCTGAAATTTGGCATGCAGGTAGAAGTTATGACATAGGCATCTGGTAAGAAAGCATTTTACGAAACTCCACCCCTAAGAGGGTAAAACGGGATCCACGTGTACGAAATCGTGGGCGGCCGCTAGTTAGGTACATATAAGCTTGATAATAACCACAAACTTAAAAGAAATAATGCTTGAATGAAGGCATTGACGATGTTATCATTCCTACGTACATTCACACTTGTAAAGACATCTAGTCATACAACTTTTAACAGCGACACAAACGTAATCTGCCGGTGGGATCTTATCTAATGATGTTATTAGTCATTCATTAGCAACGCCCATTGCAAGTCGCTGATTTTCAATAGTTTAGCAAGTGTTGCGACCACGCAAACATTGCAGGCAAGGTTAGTCTGCCTTGGAGCGCTGCGTCAGCGCGCGGCGTCTTCGGCGACAGTTATCAATTGTGTTGCGCAAACGACGGACTTTTTACTCAAAAAGTAACTGTGTTCATAGTTGAGTGGTTCGGTGACTGATCGGGGAAACATTTTAGCGAATATCGGGTAATTAAGTTGTTTCCATCGCCCATGATAAGTATTATAACGTTTTTATGCTTAAAGTGTAAACTAGGTATAGCTAATACATATTATTATCATGTTCTACATAGGTGTTGGCTTTGATCTGATTAGTTAGATAATCTATTACTTACCTACCTATTAGTATACTTATATAAATGTATTGTTTTCATGATTTGTCCGCAATCGCTTTTATGTGTGTAAAGTGTAAACATTGGCAAAAAACCTCGTTTAAATCGCATTAATAACTAGAAAAGTGGTTGTTGGATCAACAGGCACTCTTAAACATAAAAAAAACACATATTATGCATTGACGTCAACAGCTCTCCTGTGTCTTGTTTATTGAATTACAATAGATGAATAAAATGTTTATGTTTAAGTGCTTTTGCGCGTAATTTTTCCGACTTGTTTACCAAGCTCTACTCTTGAGATAATGATTACTATGATTGATTATCTTTCAAATTACAATATAGGCACAACTCATAACAATTAAATAATTAATTAGTTCGTTCATTCTAAAATAAATTATACAGTTTGTACGACGGAGAAAGTAGCCCGTATGTATGATCTGTATTCAAGCTCATTAAAAAGTTTATTATTGGTATAAATTATTGGTAATCGACCAATCGAGTTTGAATCTAGTTTTGAGTGTCATTTAATAATAGCCTTAGCCGGTCTTTAGTGTATTTGCGCCGGTTGAGCGACCCATAAATGTTTAAATGACACAAGACCCCACTTTTGCATACATTACCTGCATCCGTTATATGATTTAAATAAGTAATAGGTGTATGACGCGGTCCTGTCTACACGAACTGTTTTGTTATTTAAGGGTTCCGCTTGCAAATCTTGATTTAAAAATATGTAGTAAAGTGTGTCATAGCCAATTATCTTCTCTCGATACTTCTTGATGGATTGACTGGAAAACTGTGCAAACTGGGGCAGTAAAATGTATGAAAAACCGCTCCCTCCCCTTTAACTCCTGACTTGTTGTCAAGTGAAAAAAGTAATATAAGTTCTTATTTAATGCTTACATAAACAATATATATACAAGTACGAGTACCTATTATCTGTTCAGTTCAGGTCTTTTTATCTAATCAATATGAACAGAACCCTCGGCTCGTAAGTATAAGTCGTGCTTGGTTGGGGTTTTCCATTTTACACGTCATGTTTGTAAGCATAGAACAGCTTTCAAAGTGAAAAGATGTCGAGTATCCTACACAATAGAAAAAATAAATACATAACACACACTAAGACTGCATAAACTTTCATGATGGCCGATGTTCACGATAGGTACTGTCGTCACCGTATAGAAATACGTTACGTATGTATTTGTATATAGGATTTTGTTTAAATACCAGTGAGTCTAGTCTAGATAGACATAGATAATATTAGGAACCAGTACAGTCACGGATAGTGATTCTATGACCCACTTTGACTGCTCAGTGTAGCTAGACGATACGATCAAATCGCAAACGCGAAAGCCTGAAGGCTTAAAGCCGAAAATTTGAGTGAAACTATTGCTTTTTTGTGCAATAAATCCTAAAATAGACAATAACAAGATATCAAGTAGAGGGGAATAACCAACGGTATGCTCGGTAGCTAAAGCACAATTTTGTTTGCAGTTCCTGTCGTACCTGCAAGCGTGTTGCACCTATTATCACCAAGGCGCGGACTTGACTGAAGACTTGGATCCTTTTCTCAAAGCCACCGCTGAGGAGGTAAGAATTACTCAACTTGTAAATATTTATAGGATGCTAAAACCTCAACCTCAATTTGACAACTCTATAATATTTCCTATCGTGTAATATTGTTAAATAATACAAATTATATAATTATGTGTATTAGGTTAGTTATCTTTCGACCTGATCGAAGGTTAAAGAGATGTAGTTTTCATCAGTCTTTCTATTATTGCAACTACTAACTAGTCAGTAATGAACCTACAGGTGATTTTGGAGTAGTTTTCTTCACTCTTTTATACTGTTTGTTGTCTTGTATTTATTATTGGAATATCTTAGCTACGTGTTTTTCATTCCGTGACCAGTTCTTAATTCCAATAATAATATCTGCTAAGTAGATGTGTTTGAAGTGTGCTAAAACGTGAGCTGTATTATTAACCCATCGTGTGTTTTATCTTATCCAATATCTATATCTATTCGACCTTCTTTGTCGTTTACCTCATATTAAATAATATAATCGAGCTTCCTGTTAACTGCTATCGAATTAATCATAATTTAAAAGCCATAAACGTAGCTAAATAACTTAATTAGTGAGAAGAGTCATCGATTTTTGGAGAAATAATACGATTTATCATATCTGTAAATCAGACCATATAAGGAAATGGAGTAGTTAGTTACTATAGAACGCAATGTCGGTGAAAACAATTCACGCGATTTCATTAATAATATTTTAATTAACTGAAAATCCTTCACTATGAATGCCAATGCGCATTTTCTTCCATAAACCAAATACTAACATTGAATAACGCCATTTAGTGTTAATTGAAATAATTATAAATCAGGAAAGTGAGATAATAACTTTAATCGTAAAATACGGTTTTAATAACCCGTGCACTCGCTAATGATCGAATTTTCAGGTTTCAGCAATGCGTAACGATACAAAGATACTCGACAAAGAGATGGAGAATCGTCATACGATTGTGAATAGTAAAGATACTGTGCTGCCGAGTTGTAAGGCCGGTGACGCGGAGGCAGAAGCGAAGGATGGAATGCTGAGCGCGCCCTGCCTCAAGAACCTTCCCAGAATGCAGGGCTATCTCTTCAAGAGGACCTCGAATGCTTTCAAAACGTGGAACAGGCGATGGTTCTATTTGTACGACAACAGATTAGTGTACAGGTATGAACTAAATAACACGTTTTTTCTCGAATAAAAACTATTGCTTGTTAAATACTGTTATTGGAACGACCAGTAATTAAGAACAAATATTGTTTTCTTTGTGTACATAGGCCAGAACTCATTACTTTACCTGTTAAACACGAATTAGAAAGAATAAAATATCTTCTTTATTTAACAGTAGAAAAATTTATTTGAATGAAAAGTCCGTTATTGAACGCCAATTAGCAGCAGTAATAATTGTTTTTACGACGTGTCTATAAAAACCGGTAAGAATTAAACTTTTACAACGATTCGTGTGTTTAAAGGCTATTGGATGTAGGTCGTCAGCGATTAATTGTTATGATAGGATTGTCACGGCCTTTTTTCACATAATTTGTATTGTTTTACAGTTCATTTAAGTTGAATTCGGGTTAAGAACATAGTTTTTATCACCTAAAGATACAAAAGCAATTAGTATTGCGTGACGTTTCATAACATAACAAAACATCTTCCGTTCTGATCAGAATATTAATGGGCATACATAACGTTAGCATAATAATAATAATATGCAATTACCTCACTACAGTCATGATCATGAGTATGATGAGTCATATGTATTTGTTTTTGTTTCTTACTTCATGGTCAGATTTGGGTACTAACTAACATCAAGTTTTGGCTAATGATTCCCTAATAAATAGAATAAATAGTATACTATGGATCATACAAAAACATTTATGAGTGTTTAAAGTAAACTGCAACTGCAAGTATTGATTTATTAGTTGATTTATACATTAGGTTTTAGCTCTTGATTCCCAAGTAAATAAAAGCAATATTATGGTATTATGGATCACACTAAAAACACTGATGAGTGCTTACATTGCATGTATGAAGTGTTGATTTATTTGTTTACTTACATTTAGGCGTGATTCTGCTGCTTTTTTATTTATTTGGGCAGCAACAATACACAAACGATACATAAATAATCTAAACTTGTGTTCCTTTATAAGTGGTCCTCTTTAATATGAAAACTATTTACACGCAAGTTTGTATATGGTTTCATGATTTATTTTTGACCGATTGCAGGAAAAGAACAGGCGAATTGAACGTGACTGTAATGGAAGAGGACTTAAGACTGTGCACAGTGAAGCCAGTGCTTGACGGCGAAAGGCGGTTCTGTTTCGAAGTGCTCTCGCCTTCTAAGTAAGTATTTTTTTATTTATTATAGTGTAAAGAATAGAAGAAATCATCAATATAGGGCGGTCTTAGGGGCGTAGTTGTTTTTCAAAGCAAAGCATTGATTTATTGTTTTAATGGCCATTTGTAGTCACCTCGTAATACCCTGCTCGGACCATCCTGAAGAAATAAGTTACTGGGCTTTGGAAAGAAAAGGCAGTAACGTAACTAGTAGTTTACGATTAGTAATTGTATGAGTCTTGAATTTGCATTAATACTATAGTCTATCCAATATAGCTTGATTAGAATGACAGCTGCCATCAAAAGTAACGACATAACTTTGTAGTAGCGATCAATGAGTACTAAATATTGGCGGACAAGAAATAATTCACGTCTGACCTACAAACAATATTTTCGACGACAGTGCTTCCAATAAAAATGTTAATTTCGTGTAAATGCAGCGTTAAATTACACCAATAACTAGTAATTCGAAATTATAAAAATCAAGCTAGAGTATTAACGACGTCTCTACAAGGTTATCTCGAGTTACAAAAATGTTAGTGATGGGACATATCGACAAATTTCATATTAAATTAAAACTAATTTTTTAACATATTTAACAAATTTTTTTTCAAATTTTTTAACATATTTAAGTCAAGTTATACGTTTTTCTAAATGTTAAATCACTATTAAAAACCAAAAAACATTTCATTCTTATAGTCTTTTTCACGTAAGATGATCCGTATGACACTTCAAGGTTATCCATATTACGCATACTACATATGCAGAATATTTTTGAAAAAATATTTGTATTTTATTAGCAATATAATGAAAAAAAATTAACTACTGGTCTTGAAATACGAGTATATAGTAAAATCTGGATCTATTGATTATATTTTAATTAAATGCGATGTAAAAATATTTTTCATTTAATGTACGCAATGTGTGAAACGGAATAGATTTAGTGCTGGGGTATTTCTTGTATAATAAAATCGATTATTTCCGCGGTTCATCAATCGATTGCAGTGAATACTTAGTTATTAAAAACATCACAAAAATAAACTATATTTTTCGATTATTGACTTTAATAAACGCATTGAAAATAAATTAATAGTTTTTAATTTAAAGAAACAGAACCAGTACTTTTTAGGAATCGTTTATTTGAACACGAACCATGAAAGGACATCATTCNCTTTGAATATTATTAATAAAAAATAATATTTGTAATTAAAAAAAACATGTTTTTTGTTAAATAACACCTATACAAAATATTTCTCTTAAAAGTAGGTTTTACTAACTCTTCGAAAAAAATCGATAGATAAATCGCAGTGGTTTAGTTATCTCTAAATCTTTCAAACTCGAAACGTCATACGGATCATCTTAGGTGAAAAAGACTATAAATAATCAAACATCGGAAATCAATCACTGGTAACTTTTTGGGTATTCATAGCACCGTTGCTCTAGAAGAGATGCCCACCGCCCTCTAGCGAGAGGAAAAAACCACAGAAGAACACTGATGATAATGACTACGACTTAGGTTGTACACCCTTGACATGAATTTTAAATTTTACTGTCTTTAAATTTAAATTATAATTGTCATTTTTATGAATAAAGATATGAAAAAAAATTGGGTGCATTTTTTCATATAATTTTTTCGAAAACTTATCGATACATCTATGTGAACCGTACGAAACATACCCAGCACTAGTCACATTCGTTTGACAGCTATCATTCTAATCAAGCTATATTGGATAGACTATACTTTCTTCTTTAAACTATCGTTGTATGTTTAATTATATTCTAGGTTTACCATAAAATATGCTTGTCTGTTCCTATTTGGCGCGAAAGTTCTGGAACGATCCTAGCAAAATCGCCACACGCATATTAATAGCTCCATCAAACAAAATGGAAGATCGGTTATGTAATATTAGACACGATTATGTATTCATTCCTTTTGGCACACTGACCCAGTGATGCTATGTTTTGATAACTTAATATTCATAGTTTATGGTCCAAAATAATTTNCCTTCTAAGTAAGTCATTAGTATTTTCAAGGATTTTTTTAATTTATTATAGTGTAGGTAGAGCATTGGTTCCCAAACTTATTTGAGACGCACCCCCTTTCAACCACACAAAAAAATCCTCCAGTCAAGATTATTTATTGGTCGTATCGAGCAGTCTGGAATGCATTCTTCAATATAGGGCGGCCAGTTGTCGCTTAAAGCAAAGCATAGATTTTTTGTTTTAATGGCTATTTGTAATCACCTCGTAATACTGCTGCTCGTAATGCTGGGCTTTGGAAAGAACAGGAAGTAACGTAACTTTAGTTCACGAGTAGTAGTTGAATGTGTCTTGAATTTGCATTTACTACTTTCTTCTTTAAACTATCATTGTATGTTTAATTATATTCTAGGTTTACCATATGCTTGTCTGTTCCTATTTGGCGCGAAAGTTCTGGAACGATCCTAGCAAAATCGCCACACGCATAATAATAGCTCCATCAAACAAAATGGAAGATCGGTTATGTAATATAGACACGATTATGTATTCATTCCTTTTGGCACACTGACCCAGAGATGCTATGTTATGTTAAGTTAATTATTCATAGTTTATGGTACAAAATCGATTGNATAATTTAAAAATATTGACGTGTTTATAAATAATGACCTGGCCCATTTATTATCCCGAAGTAGTAGTAGGGTTGAAGTAATATTGCAACATGTAAAATAGTAGTAATATCAGTAGTGACTGAGTTTCTTGCGCTGCTTCTTCTCAGCACTGGCCCGTTTATTGTCCCGAAGCAGTGATAGGGTTAATACTGGGACGTGTAAAAGTGCTTATTAAAAGCCTATTTGCAAAAATAAATGAGTTTTATGAGATTTTTTAAAGCGCTTTTTAAAAGTCTTAATGAGTTTTTATGACGTACTTTTTTACTTAATTCCAGGAGTCACATGCTTCAAGCTGATTCGGAAGAAATGTTAAATTCGTGGATCGCAGCGCTCCAAAACGGGATCCGATCAGCCATACAGCACGGTCAAAGCCGAGAGAACCCCGAGTCCCAGCTAGTTCTCGTGCCAGACGACTCTAAATCTAACGACAATAGGAATAGCGTCGCTAATGTAAGGATGAGGAAAGTGAGGTAAAGATAAACATTTATTCATGTTATTCAATGTGTTAGATGAATGAATAGGGATTAAGATGGCTCGTGTAAGTTATAGATGTTGTTTTGTGGGGTCACATTAACATTTTCTGGCTACAAGTGTTCCCTCTAAAACATTTCGAGATATATTCTATTAGATTTCAACGCTGCTTGTACGGTAATGTAGTGTGTTTGTGGTGGCCTGGTTTCAACTCATAAGGAACTAGACTATTTTTAGATGTAGTTCCCATCACTACTCCTAATGTACCTAGCCAGGAACCAATAAAATTTAAAAAAGGAAGGACAAATTAGTCCCGGGAGAAATTTTAAAGCCCTTAAATCTGTATTGCCAGATTAATAAATTGTGAAAACAAAAAAGTTCAGTAAAAGATGAGTGTTATTATTTCACACAAAATAAAACTGTTTGTTTTTTAGGATTTGGGAGCAGCTGCTTAGTATCCCCGGTAACAACAACTGTTGCGACTGTGGCAGCCCTAACCCGCGGTGGGCTAGCATTAACCTTGGAATCACTCTCTGTATAGGTACGTATAAAATACACATAACGATTTTAAATAGCTACAGGCAACAAAAACTGTTTCTGCGACAAAAAACATCAGTTCCAACAACCGATAAATTATTTATTTGACTGGACACGCTTATAGCTCTTATACTTTAGATTTTATACCTTAAAAAACCCGATTTCGTCACTGACTTTCAGTGATCATTATCAAAATTCTTATGGTCTTTACAGGTACTAGTATTAGTACACAAACAACTTAAATATCGCTTGTTTCTCTCAATTCACTGACTGACAGACGTGAATCCTACTAATATTATAAATGTGAAAGTTTGGATGTCATGATGTCTGGATGTTTGGATGTCTGGATGTTTGTTACTCTTTCACGCAAAAACTACTGAACGGATTTTGTTGAAACTTTACAGTATTACTGTTTATAACCCAGATTAACATATAGGCTATAATTTATGACGATCTGTGACAAACTAAATTTCACGCAGGTGAAACCGCGGGCAAAAGCTAGTGATAAATAATTCATACTATATTTGCAATATATTTGATTAAAAAGAAATAGTGTTACCAAATTATAAAATTGATCGCTGATTCAGTCATTTTGAAGATGTTTTATTAATACTGACTTCATAACTGTTGCAACTAATTTGACGCTATAGTCGTTAAAATGTTGAATGTACTGAACTAGTTTCTAATTCATATTTTAATATGAAAAATATGAATTAGAAACTAGTTGTTCTGTCGTCAACTTAGGTGTTTGTTCTTGACAAAAAATTTGATGCTTGTTTTATTATTATCCTAATCAATTTATTAGATCCACTACCGTAAACTTATGTAACTACCCGCGAGTGCGTGCGCCATACTTAGCGTGATTACATAGTAAAGTTTGCATGATCATGACATTTATTAGCGTATAATTTATGGTGGAAAACGGAAAAAGATGATTTTTAAATGATTTTTATATTCCTTTTGCAGAATGTTCTGGAATTCATCGCTCACTTGGCGTGCACGTCAGCAAAGTCAGATCTCTTACTTTAGATGACTGGGAACCTGATATTATAAAGGTATAGTTTGAAAATATTTTTGTGAAATTGTTGGTAATTTTATAGCTACATTTATCTTGTCATTACATGTTCTTGCTTTATTTCCACAGGTCATGGCCGAACTGGGAAATAAAATAGTAAACTTAATTTATGAAGCAAACACAGAAGGAACCACCGTCACTCGAGCAACTCCGGATTGTGAAACGTAAGAACTTCTATAGCAGTAATTTACAATGTGATTTGAACATTTAATTCTGTTTTATGAACGGTTGAAAAGGGATATAATTAGACTTATCCCATTTCAATTTCCGACCGTTCGCTGTCTTTATGTACAAACAAGATTGAACAAGAACGGATATCAGTTTTTTTTTATATTTTCTACTCCAGTCTACTCTCCTAGGGTATTTTAGTGTCTTATAGGAACGAACTCAAGCTTTCAATAGATCGGACAATCACGGGTAGAAGTAGATCGATTTGGGATTTGACCCCTGCGGGCATACTCCGAAATGCTGTTTCCGTCGAAACCATCTGCCACCATCGCTCATACTAGGAGAGGGATGGTTACATTCGAAACTTCGGATAACGATTTTCAGAATAACCCTTCTGAACCCATGGGCTTTTGCATTTTAAGATCTCAGTACAAATTTTGTGTAAGTAATTAAGATTATTTTATCTTTCAGAGCCGTGCGCGAGGCGTGGATCCGCGCCAAGTACGTGTCGCTATCATTCGTGCGCAACATCGCGCGCGGCGCCGCGGACTCGCTGCCCGAGTCGCCGCTGCGCAGCGGCCGCCGCTGGTCCGTGCGCAGGGCGCGCCGCAGGTTAATACTTTAGCATTTAAGATCTATAATCTGGTCTGCGAGCACGTAGAATTTTGTCCAATGACCCCAAGCTACCCATCCTTATCGCTCGCGCGTAATTATGTTGCTGTCGCGCTCGCACACTCACTGCGGGCGCCTGTCGCACGGTCGCAACAGCAATATAACTACGCGCGAGCGATAAGGATGGGTAGCTTGGGGTCATCGGACAAAATTCTACGAGCTCACAGACCAGGCTTTAGTTTTCGTTCGTTTCACCCGAATGAAATCCACTGCTGGACAAAGGCCTCCCCCAAGGAATTCCACCATGACGGGTCCTGCGCCACCCGCGTCCAGGCACCTCCCGCGACCTTCACCGATCGTCGGTCCACCTAGTGGGAGACCTGCCCACACTACGTCTTCCGGCTCGTGGTCGCCACTCGAGAACTTTTCTGCCTAAGCAGCCATCAGCTCTGGGAGCTATGTGCCCCGCCCACTGCCACTTGATTTTAGCGCTTCTGCGGGCTATGTCAGTCATTTTAGTTCTCCTGCGGATCTCCTCATTTCTGATTCGATCACGCAGGGAAACTCCGAGCATAGCACGCTCCATCGCCCTTTGGGTGACCTTGAGCCTTCTTATGAGGCTCATAGTAAGCGACGACGTCTCAGATCTAGTTTTACGGACTATTTATTGTTCAACTATTTAACGGGCTGTTAAAGTTATTGCTTGCTGTCACAGCTGATATCTTTCGTTAACAGGTTTTTCGTGGTTTTAGATATTCATAGTTTATTTATTATTTTCTGTACTGGATTAAAAGCATAATATGGTTACAGGGTTCGCGCCGCGCCTGCCGTACCCGAAACTATCACCGACGAGAAGAGTGACGACAACAGCAATACGAGCGGTAAACAAACACTTCATCCATTCCAACAGTTTATTTATAAATTACTCAGCTTGGGATCAATAAATAAAAAGTGTGGGTGATCATTTTCTACTTTTCCGGATCCATTTGACTAATGGGCTATTTTCCAACAAAATAGACAGTTTGACACCATACCCCAATAATTCGAAACCACAACTGTTTTAAAAAGACTTCATTCTGGTCTTAAAAACCTAATTTATTTTAAATTACCTGTTAATTTCGATTTTTGTTCGAATTGTAATTGAAAAAAGTAGTTTAATTGGGTTGACAAAATAGTGACGTCACTTGCTTGTAGTGCCATACAAAATCTACGGGAGAGTTTCGTTTTGACAGTTTTAAAAAGTACGTCAATTGACTGTGGTGTCAACATGTCTATTGCCTAGGCGCAAATTCTTAATAGGTCGCACAACGAAAGTCGAGGCGAACACATATTCAAACCGATATTTGAATAGAGAACCCAAATCAGAATATAGATGACCCACGCTGAACTGTCCCACCAAACTCAATGACAGGGGGGCGCTACCATCGTTCAACTATATGGTTTCCAACATGGCAAAAATCGGAACCAGCGATCCGGTATTGACGGTGGCGCCCCACTGTCAATGTCATGGATAGGACAGTTCAGTATTTTGGAACTATACGCAAGACGTCATCCCGACAAGTGTATACAGATAAAAAAATTTTGCTTACATAATTTCTTAATACATTTTTAGATGTCACGTTATTAACAAAAGTATATTCAATTTTGTATTTTATCAAGAATATATTTAAAAAGTGTCAATCGCTTCAACTCTTGCTGCATAATCTATAGACAAGTTATGTTCTGGTATTATTAGGTACTTTATGGTGTCAATAACCAATGTTTCAGTGTCGGAAAGCTCTAGCAAGTNATTTCAATTGTTTTAAATATTTGATATAATGTTGATTTTATAAAAAATATTACTTAATTTAAATGGAAATAAAACTAATTTCGGAACTGCTGTTAATTTAATAATTTTTCGATGTGAAATTGCAAAACATGTGACGTCACACTAGGGAGGGGGGTCTCAGAAATGTGACCACCTGTGACAAGGACGGAGGGGGGGGGGTCAAAAAATCATGAAATTCGTGTGACGTACTTTATGGATGGCCCCTAATCTGGACTGCGAGCACGTAGAATTTTGTCCAATGACCCCAAGCTACCCACCCTTATCGCTCGCGCGTAATTATGTTGCTGTCGCGCTCGCACACTCACTGCGGGCGCCTGTCGCACGGTCGCAACAGCAATATAACTACGCGCGAGCGATAAGGATGGGTAGCTTGGGGTCATTGGACAAAATTCTACGTGCTCACAGACCGGGCTTTATTTTTCGTTCGTTTCACCCGAATGAAATCCACTGCTGGACAAAGGCCTCCTCCAAGGAATTCCATCATAACTCGTCCTGCGCCACCCGCGACATTCACCGATCGTCGGTCTAACTAGTGGGAGACCTGCCCACACTACGTCTTCCGGCTCGTGGTCGCCACTCGAGAACTTTTCTGCCTAAGCAGCCATCAGCTCTGGGAGCTATGTGCCCCGCCCACTGCCACTTAATTTTAGCGATTCTGCGAGCTATGTCAGTCACTTTGGTTCTCCTACGGATCTCCTCATTTCTGATTCGATCACGCAGGGAAACTCCGAGCATAGCACGCTCCATCGCCCTTTGGGTGACCTTGAGCCTTCTTATGAGGCCCATAGTACCCGACCACGTCTCAGATCTAGTTTTGCGGACTATCTATTTATTGTTAAATTATTTAACGGGCTGTTAAAGCCTGTGCCTGTGCTATGACTACGAAACATTATTTGGTGTCACTTGCTATCACAGCTGATATCTTTCGTTAACAGCTAGTGGTTTTAGATATTCATAGAAAATTAAGAATAAAATTATTTTAAATTTCTGTGTACTATATTAAAAAGCATAATATGGTTACAGGGTTCGCGCCGCGCCTGCCGTGCCTGAAACTATCACTGACGAGAAAAGCGACGACAACAGCAATACGAGCGGTAAACAAACACTTCATCCATTCCAACAGTTTATTTATAAATTACTCAGCTTGGGATCAATAAATAAAAAGTGTGGGTGATCATTTTCTACTTTTCCGGATCCATTTGACTAATGGGCTATTTTCCAACAAAATTGCCTAGGCGCAAATTCCTAATAGGTCGCACAACGAAAGTCGAGGCGAACACATATTCAAACTAATATTTGAATAGAGAACCCAAATCAGAATAAGCAAGACGTTATCGCGACAAGTGTATACAGATAAAAAAAAATTGCTTACATAATTTCTTTATACATTTTTAGATGTCACGTTATTAACAAAAGTATATTCAATTTTGTATTTTATCAAGAATATATTTAAAAAGTGTCAATCGCTTCAACTCTTGCTGCATAATCTATAGACAAGTTATGTTCTGGTATTATTAGGTACTTTATGGTGTCAATAACCAATGTTTCAGTGTCGGAAAGCTCCAGCAAGTCGTTGCCAGACAGTCCCGTGCTGCTGATCGGCACGGAGCTGGCCAGCGAGCGCGCCGTGGACCTCAGCCTGCCCTCCGACCACGAGTCCACCGAGGGCGAGGACACGGCTGACGTCGGTATGTGTCGTAACACACTCTTTAATGTTTTTTTAGGCCTCCCGTTAGGCCGCTTGTAAACATCCGTTTTTTTGACCGGACAACGGCCCGATTTTTTCACCGGATTTAGCGGTGGCGTATGGTTTATAATGAACGTGTGCACATGCATCGGACATAGGTCCGGCGAGAAAATTGACAGCAAACAAAGGATATCCGTTTTTTGACGGTCCGTCGTCCGGTGAAAAAACGGATGTCTACAAAACGGCCTTTAGCCCCTCGCTCGTACTAAGCTAAATATGCTTGTGTCACGAGTGAGCTCACCACAATAGTCGAGCGGCAGCGGGGATCGAACCCGCGTTCCCCGGATCACGATTCGACCAATTCGACCCCTTCACCGTTCGGCTATCGTGGCACTGCAGTTTTTTATTGTAGTTTGATAAAAAAATTACTGATGCTCACAAAAATTTCACTATGGGCCACACTCCCAGCTACCCATTTCCAGTCATGTCGTCTCGTTCTATCGCAAAGAAAAAGAATCCAGTCTTGGTCAAATTACATTAAGTTTTTGACAAATTGAGTGTCACTCTACCATCAATAAGGGTATAGCTACCCATTTCCAGTCATGTCGTCTCGTTCTATCGCGAAGAATCCAGTCTTGGTCAAATTACATTAAGTTTTTGACAAATTGAGTGTCAATCTATCAATCAAACGAACGACGAACGATTCAGCGATACTCATTGCAACGCGGCCCTAATACGTCACACAAGTAGTCCAGAGCCGCTCAAGTGCGGCCTAACCTTAACAGCGCTAGTTTTGTCGACGTGAAATGTGATTTTGTTTTAGGAATCGGTTTTAAACGATCTCTGTCTAATAAAAACGGAATCAGACTGTAGTAGTTGAAAATGTATAGGTACCGATAGTGACTCAGTTTCTTGCGCTGCTTCTTTTTAGCACTGGCCCATTTATAGTGGTAGGATTAATACTGGGACGTGTAAAAGTGCTTTTAAGCCTAGGCGCAGACCACCAACGTTTAGTTGGTCGACAGTTAGTTTAATGTGCGCACTTTCATACATGTCCATGCTGATTAACAGCCTGACCCAACTATCGACCGACAAAAAGTCCAAAAAGTGGTCAAGGCAAAAAGCCTACTTGCAAAAATAAAATGAGTTTTTATATCCCCCAGCAGCGGAGGACATATCGTGCCTGTCAGCGGACGCCGTGCTGCACCGCGCGGCGCGCGCGCACAACGTGGCGGTGATGCGCGCCGCGCTGGCCGCCGCCGCCGACGTCAACCAGCCGCACGCGCGCGCGCGCANCGCGCGCTCGCCGCTGCACGCCGCCGTGCTCAGCGTGAGTCTTATAATACCACTTGTAAGGCGTGTTCAGATGCCCTCAAAGTGCGAGGGGGTTTGCCGCGAAGTTAGGTTCCGTAAGTTATCTTTAGGTGAACCAGCGCCGCCAGTTGAAGTGGTAGCTATAGTCGCTATAATCGCTATATTTCGGCGCGCGCGCACGCCGCTGCACGCCGTCGTGCTCACATATTCGTTCGTTTCAGCTGAAAGACGTCCACTGCTGGACAAAGGCCTCCCCCAAGGATTACCACAAAGAGCGATCCTGCGCCGCTCGCATCCAGGCACCCCCCGCGACCTCCACCAAATCGTTGGTACACCTAGTGGGAGGCCTGCTCACGCTACGTCTACCGGCTCGTGATTCTTGATACTATATTAGTCCAACAAATTCGTGCGTGACCGCACTGCAGTATACACGGTAGCGGGTCGACCACCCGCTACCCGTTGACACCTTGACACCTCGTCCCCGCCACCGTCTGTTAGGGCGTAGGACGGCCGCGCACGAAGTTACGTGGCGGTGATGCGCGCCGCGCTGGCCGCCGCCGCCGACGCCAACCAGCCGCACGCGCGCGCGCGCACGCCGCTGCACGCCGCCGTGCTCAGCGTGAGTCTTACCATAATACCACTTGTAAGCCACGGCTTACACGTTGTTATGTAAGGCGTGTTACTGATAAGATACTATAGTCCAACAAATTCGTGCGTGACCGCGCTGCAGTATAAACACGCACGGTAATTTGTCGATCACCCGCCGTGCTCAGCGTGAGTCTCACCAGGCCTGTTCATCTCCGCGAGTTTACATCGAAAACAAAACACGCACGATGGCCCACCTACACGATACTATTCGACAAGGCTTCACTTACGAGCGAACATTGACTCACGCACGCGTATTCTTGTGTATGATGGAAGAAAATGATGTACTAAATACTGTGCAGTATTTAACTGCCTAAATAANTTTGTCTCTGGGAGGTATGTTTACGGAATATAGTTTGGTGAAGTTACATTCCGTATGCAAGGCGTGTGTTGTTATGTAAGGCGTGTTACTGATAAGATACTATAGTCCAACAAATTCGTGCGTGACCGCACTGCGGTATAAACACGCACGGTAATGGGTCGATCACCCGCCGTGCTCAGCGTGAGTCTCACCAGGCCTGTTCATCTCCGCGAGTTTACACCGAAAACAAAACACGCACGATGGCCCACCTACACGATACTATTCGACAAGGCCTCACTTACGAGCGAACATTGACTCACGCACGCGTATTCTTGTGTATGATGGAAGAAAATAAAGAAAATGGTGTACTAAATACTGTGCAGTATTTAACTGCCTAAATAATAATAAAAACACAGAATGTACTTTTTTAAGCTCCCTCAAGACACTGAGAGGTAAATAAGTAGTTAATATTATTCATGATAATTCATACTAAATCATGAATTTCCTCCGCCATTTTCCGCAGTTTGGCGCCTCACGTCACATCATTTTACCGAAGTCAGCCCTATAGCTTCGGCGCGGTGCCGATCACTGACGTTTGTCAACAAAATGGTGCTTGACTCTTGAGACGAGCTAAATTACACCATATTGTTAATAACATTGAGCATACATTTTTTTAAATACCTTCGCGAAGTAAAACTTCTGTACGTAGTACTTAAATATTATTCTGTGGTCTTACTACCATTTGTATAATATCGTGTTGTTATGTAAGGCGTGTTTAGAAGCCCTCAAAGTGCGAGGGGGTTTGAAAAAACTTCTCTCAAATTAGTATTTGTATTTCAGGGATCAGTAATGGCGTGCTCGTTCCTATTGCTAAACGGCAGCAAGTTAAACATGCAAGACGAAGACGGGAAGACGCCCCTACACCTGGCCACGGAGGCTGGCCACACAGGACAGGTAATAATACTCAGTGAGCATAACATAATGTTTATTTATTTAAAACTTTATTGCGTATAGAATAAGGAACAAAACGTGAAATTAAAGTAGGCGAACAGAAATTAGTTTTTAAACTTAACAGTTGGCACCACTGGCGAATGACAGGGCCTACTCTACAGTGGCGCCATTCTAGTGCAAATACGGTAGTCCTCTTACCACTTCAGCGCTCGCCAGTTGGCGTTACTGTCTTCGCCACTACCAAGTGACAAGACCTAACTCAATGGCGCCAACTTTGTGCTTACCATGAGTTTACATTAGGTGTGTTTGCTAGCGACTGCGTAAAAAAATAGCATTAAATGTGTATCATCATGTACCATCGGCAACAGTGTTAACTATCCATTGCCTGTCATGCCATCTCGTTCTGTCGCAAAGAATCACCATTTGATAAGAGCGAGAGCAAAAACGGAAATGGATAGTTAACAGTGTGGCCGTGTGTACAGTGTGTTACTCTCAAGAAATAAAATCATAGACTTTAATGCACTCGCTAGCGAGCACACCTAATGTAAACTCATGGTAAGCACACTGGATACACTAAAATTATAGCTCATATTAAACTTATTGAGCAAAAAGTACATACTTTTTGCTAATTAGGTTTATTCTTTAATGCCACATCAATAAGTTCCTAAGGCGAACTTAATGTCATGTATATTGTCTGCCAGATAATCTTTGGTTTAACCCTTGACTTTTTTCGCGCAGGTTTGCTTGCTGCTGCGGTACCGCGCCGACCAGTCCATCGCCGACAACGAAGGCCGCACGCCGCTTGACATCGCTGTCGGACACGCTAACGCCGACATTGTTACTTTGTAAGTCAGGACACGTCTGTCCAAAGTTTGTCTTAATACACCAGCCCTCTAGACAAGTGGCAAAACGTGATAGTTGTAATTTCGGAAGCTCAGAACGTTTAGTTTTTGTTATGTAGGAGAATTGTATTTAAATAACCAGCTGTAAATAGGTATGTGGTGTTTGGTGTAACGACGACTGTTTCAAAGACTACGCCTACAATGAATCTTGCATAGTGCGAAACTACGTTCGACAAAAAGTCACAACACAAATCATACGAAGTGTAGAACTCTTAACCATGGACGTCAGTATTTATGAGCTGCACTGGTCTACCAAAACAGTATTAGACCAACAGCTTAACGTTCGAAATAGTCCCAATTATAACTCTCTAACATTAAATATTTCTTTATTCCCATCAGACTTCGCCTGACAAAACTGAACGAAGAAATGCGCGAAAGCGAAATGGCTTCCAACGACGACACGTACAACGAAGTGTTTCGCGACTACACGCAGCTGGCGCACTCGCACCCCGAGCGGCTGGTGCGCGCGCGGCACAACAACAACGAAGGTATATTCAACCTTATTGGCTTGATTTAAGGTTCATAGAAAAAATCGGACTTGCTGGGTCTAAGGATTTTGAACCGTATTGACGTTTGGAATGTGCTAGACCTAAGGCTAGGTAGGTATGTATTAACAAGCTCGGAAGACGTGTTTCGCGACTACATGTAAAGCCCGGTCCGTGAGCACGTAGAATTTTGTCCAATGACCCCTAGCTAGGGGATAACAACATAATTACGCGCGAGCGATAAGGATAGGTAGCTACCTATCCTTATCGCTCGCGCGTAATTATGTTGCTATCGCGCTCGCACACTCACTGCGGGTGCCACTCGCACAGTCGCGACAGCAATATAATTACGCGCGAGCGATAAGGATGGGTAGCTAGGGGTCATTGGACAAAATTCTACGTGCTCACGGACCAGACTATAGCTGGCGCTCTCGCACCCCGAGCGGCTGGTGCGCGCGCGGCACAACAACAACGAAGGTATATTCAACCTTATTGACTTGACTTAAGGTTCATAGAAACAGTCGAACTTGCTGGGTCTAAGGATTTTGAACCGTATTGACGTTTGGAATGTGCTAGACCTAAGGCTAGGTAGGTATGTATTAACAAGCTCAGAAGACGTGTTTCGCGACTACATGTAGCTGGCGCTCTCGCACCCCGAGCGGCTGGTGCGCGCGCGGCACAACAACAACGAAGGTATATTCAACCTTATTAGCCTGTCTTTAAGGTTCATAGAAAAAATCGAACTTGCTGGGTCTAAGGATTTTGAACCGTATTGACGTTTGGAATTTGCTAGACCTAAGGCTAGGTATGTATTAACAAGCTCAGAAGACGTGTTTCGCGACTACATGTAGCTGGCGCTCTCGCACCCCGAGCGGCTGGTGCGCGCGCGGCACAACTACAACGAAGGTATATTCAACCTTATTGACTTGACTTAAGGTTCATAGAAAAAATCAACTTGCTGGGCCTAAGGATTTTGAACCGTATTGACGTTTGGAATGTGCTAGAACTAAGGCTAGGTATGTATTAACATAGCTCAGAAGACGTGTTTCGCGACTACATGTAGCTGGCGCTCTCGCACCCCGAGCGGCTGGTGCGCGCGCGGCACAACAACAACGAAGGTATATTCAACCTTATTGACTTGACTTAAGGTTCATAGAAAAAATCGGACTTGCTGAGTCTAAGGATTTTGAACCGTATTGACGTTTGGAATTTGCTAGACCTAAGGCTAGGTAGGTATGTATTAACAAGCTCAGAAGACGTGTTTCGCGACTACATGTAAAGCCCGGTCCGTGAGCACATAGAATTTTGACCAATGACACCTAGCTAGGGTATAACAACATAATTACGCGCGAGCGACCGCCCGCGACCTTTACCAGATCGTCGGTCCACCTAGTAGGAGGCCTGCCCACGCTACGTCTTCCAGCCCGTGGTCGCCACTCGAGAACTTTCCTGCCCCAACGGCCATCGTCTCTACGAGCTATGTGCCCCGCCCACTGCCACTTGATTTCAGCAATTCTGCGAGCTATGTCGGTTACTTTGGTTCTCCTGCGGATCTCCTCATTTCTGATTCGATCACGCAGGGAAAGCAAGGTTACTCAACCTATTATTTCGAACCTTATTGACCTGCTTAAGGTCTAAAAACAAAAGTATGTCGCTATAAAAACAATAATATTATGTAGACGCTTCTCTTACTGACTTCTAATTTTTCTCAGGGGAACAACCAACTGAATGACGAAACGCCCCAGGGGTGAAGCGACGATGGCTGTGGTAACACGACGACTGGATGACGTCACGCCGGTGACGTCACATGTGCATTGCGACCGGTGAAGAAAACTACGAGGTATATTATTCCATTATACAAATAGACGTTGACGCTAACAGTAGACAACGAAGGCCTACGATGATAAAAACTCAGTGTAACTAATGAATTGTAATATGGCGCTAAAACATGTTATTTGTTAGATTAGAAAAAATAGGTCACACTTACGCCCATTACGATGCTTGTCAATCATGATCGAAAATGGTAGTTTAATGCCTATTTATCTCTATAAATAATGTTAAAATTAAAAACTAAAGTTATTATTGACATAAGATTTAAAATACACCATAAATGCCAACGAATGGTTATAAAATAGGACGCTTTAGTAACAAAATGAATTTAGGAAATATAGCCTACATTTTTGTGTTTGTTTTCAACTCAATCCGATACTCTCACTGCGCGTGTATTTAATCAACACTCAAGATTGTTTTATTGTTATTTTACTGACAATTCATATCCATATCTTAAATATGACATGTTAACTAGCATCTATATCTTCCATTCCTCGTGGTCAAAAATTTAGCTACCTCTTTTAATCAACAAATATTAATAGCTTACTTCCATTAGTACAGTTTTTAATTTTAAACTACTTTTTAACTTGTATTGTAGACATTTCAATAAATCATTAGATTCAAAAGTTTGGTTCGATCTAGAGGATCTTTTTAGGACCTAAAAATGAAAAAAAAAAGGTATTTTAATTGATTATTTGAGCTTCAAATATTTAAACCAATCAAAAATATTCAAATAGATTATAGATAATTGCCTACTATAGGATATAAATTGAAAAGTTTTGATTGTCACAGCAAATTATTGCACGCTAGTTAGTAAACTGACTTTTCCATAAAATGTAGTATTCAATACAATGTTTTTATGTAAAATAAATATTCCTAATATTCAAATACAAGTAAATCGGAGAGTAACATACAGTAATTGTATTACAATGTATTCATGATCTCTACATATTTTTTATGAGGCTTTAAAACTGTTTTCTCACATTAGACATGATAATTGTATGGAATGTATTATTTTATTTGGTTGTTTGTGGAACCCAATCGACTGAACTTAAGTCCTCAATACATTTTATTGTTTTACTCGTAAAAGTTAGTCAATATTCATTAGTATTTTGAGCATGTAGTGACAGGAAGTGACGACACTGCCATTGTGTCTTAAAATTTCCAAGTAAAGTGGTTATCTAAAACTTGCAGCAACCTAATACTATACATATCTAAATAACTCATTTTTGTTCAGTATTTCTGTCACTGTTAACATAAAATATTTGTGTCATATTTATTTACATTATAAAAAAAACTATGTAATCATTTTGCATATTTAAACAAGTGATTAATTTAAAATATCTAATGACATTTTGTCACGAAAAAGATAATAGTTTGACGAGCCATACAATATGAAATGAAATAACGAAATAACGGTAATAACGGATTGATTTATTATATGTATTTATTGATATAACTTATTGAACCAAAGATTTGAGTATTTGGTAATAACTTATAAGCCTATGTATGTCGTTAAGTGCTAATTGTAGGGTAAATATTTAATCAATATCATAATAATGTAACTTTTCAAAATTATTTAATGAAGTTGTTTTAATGATCCCATTGATAATTGTCTATTTTTTACGTTGACGGAAATTACCGCTAGTTTTAGGTTAGATCGAATACATGTGATATAAAATTTCAGTCTTCAGTATTTAAGTTCAAAATAAATGTGTTTTTTCATATCTTCCACTCGTAATTTGCATAACATTTTGTTCGATAATATATGAAACTGCCATAACATTCCAACTTGATTAGCTATAAATTTGAAAAAAAAATCATTCCCTGAGACAAAGCATTTGATTCTTTATTTGTTACTGAAGACATGTTTAAACAACAGAATCTCGAAAAAAATGTACACCCTAAGCTCTATACCTAAGCAATTATTTTTTTATTTTATTTTTTATTGTTGTAAGCTACATTATTAATTATTATTAATGTAACTATTATGCGTATAGGTAGTTAACTATTAAATATACCTATTCCTACTTGCCAATTTTTACATCTGTTTTATGCCATCTTTTAAACATTATCGTTAAAATATTTGTTTGTTACTCACTTTGCAAAATTACCTATGAATTATTACTATTAACAGTATACAATCGTGTTTCGATGAATTTATTATATTAATAACTATTAAGTCTTACGTAGTAGGTATATTGTTAAAATGCTTTTATATTGATACTTTACTGTAGTAAGTATATCATATGTCGATAATATTAATGTACTCATTAGATGTTGTTTAAATCAGAAAAGTGTGTAGAAAATACAGGAAAATCATTGTTACAACAATGCTTGTTGTTATTATAATGCTTTAAAAACTTTAAATTACTCGTACATTGCGATGATCCTATGAGGACCCCATGAACTGCGGATATTATTATTTGTTATACTACTTAATAAGTAGTAAAACCAATATAGTATTTATCGTCAAAATTACCTTGACAGTTAAACTATCTGTACCTTGAAGTGCCATTGCCAGGAAGCACATTTAATTCCAATGTAACATGATGCTGATGTCTAATAATAATTAATGAATGCTATAAGCTTTTGTTTAAAAACTTTTTTTCATCTACAATCAAGGTAGGTATATCAATACTCTGTTACTGTTATTGTAATGTCGTATGTTCGAAAACAATGTACCTATTCAAATAAAATCGTCGTAATTGACTATAGCTACTTTCAATTTTAAAAATCCCTCACGAACTTGAAGTAACGTACCTAGACCAAGAAGTATTTCAGATCATTATCTATTAGATTTATCTGCCAAAGTAAAGTCTCCGTATAAATTCATAAGTAGAGCACTCACGCTACAAATAAAACACTCATAAATAATGCACACAAGTTTATTAGACAGTAGAAACCAAACATCCAAAAGAAAGAAAGTAAGTAATTTTTCATTGGTTGGTTGGGATGTGAATTATATTATAATTAATTTGGACAAAGTTTAAAATTAATTATTAACAAATTGATAATTGAATGAATTCATCAGCGATTAACAATAAATTCATTATATTTTCGAATTGCAATGATTTAATTGTATTTGAACAAAGAATCGATGACGGAAATACAGTGGATATAATTAATTAAAAATCTTTTAAAAAGCCAATGAAAAATTTACATGAAGAACTATAGAAAAACTGAGTTGTGTTTAAACTTAAAAGTCAAAGGGTTCAAACATTATATGACCTGCATATGTGTATTTGAACCATTGGAATGACTTGTAGTATACGTAGTTGTTGTTCACATTTCTATTGAGTTATAGAAAGTGAACATTACACAGCACACGAGTTCAAAAACAATACAGTTTGTATAGAAACTACAGTTGAACGAAATACAGGTTAAATCCTGATAAAAATGGTTAAGTACATGTAGTACAATCGATAACCATTTGACACGTTATCGGCTTACACCATGTTCTCATATTTATCACTACTCAATAAGTTTTAAATTAAAGAAATGTGTAAACCAATAATAACATTGTTTTACTAAAATGATAATACGAATAGTATTAATACATAAAATTAATGTTGGTGATTTACGTCGTATAGAAGAGATAACCTTCAGAACTTAATAGAGCAATGGTTTCCAGCCTGTTTCTTAAAAAGCCGAACCGTCTAAAATGAAACCGTTATCATACTGGGTCTCAACTTCGGCTCTTATGTCTGGCCATACATGAAATATACCTTAAACATAGCTTAGAGTCATCTTAGTTATCGATCTGAGAATAATGCCGGGGCCACACCTCTGGAAGAAGTAATGTGACGTGTTGATAAAAGACCTTAATTGCTGACGAACTCCATGTACCTAGGTACTCTACTACCTGTACTTATTGATTTTACATTTCTTAGCTAGGGCAAGAACCTTGGGTAGGTCCCAAGTAGGCTAGAATCAGATATTCTCCTACCTATTAAAAGTTACGGAAAGAAGAGGCAGACAGAGTAATAACATCATTCCTGATTGAAAAGAGCGTTATCGATCAAGTTGTTTTTCGCCCCTCCCACACATTAGGAACTGTCCTATATAAACGGCAGTGGAATCTACAAAAAGTACATAAACAAAAAAGATCTATCGTACAGTCATCGTCAAATACTTAGTGACACCCAAAGTGGCCAAAAAGTTTTAGTGAACAACAAACTTATTCCACGTAACAAAGACGTGTTGCGAACTTTTTGGCTTAAGGTGTCGCGAACTGTTTGACGCTGGCTGTGCAGATAGCCCCGGCTTCGTTGGGTTTAGTTGATTCCGAACGTGGACCAGAGAGAAGCGTGCGTGAGCGCAGCGGTGGACGGGGAGGGTGACGGCGCGGGCGCGGGTGTGGCGGGCGCACTACGCAGCGTCAGCCCGGCCAGGCCTGCGGTCGGCGCGCGACGACGCGACAGCCCTCCTACTGAACGATCCGAACCTGGAACAAATTCACCATTGTATAAGAGCCGATTGTACTTATCCCCATTTAGCTAACTCCCCATTTTTTTTTGTGTTGAGCGGCTATTCTAGTTCAATAAAGTCCTAGTATCACTGCGACCGTTATCGACCTATTGTGATCGCCGCTATTTTCCTTACAGTTCGCCTCCGAGTCCTGCATCCATTAGGAAGTGCAGTATCTTTTGGGGGGCGATATGTTTTACATCTTGTGGGCGTAGGATGTGTTTGCTGAACTCCCCATTATGCTACTAAAGCTCTCGTACATTTGCATTAAACCAAGCATGGTTACCTCCTCAGTGCCTTGCTAATGAGAACTACCTTTAAGGTCCAGTTAAGATAACTTTATCATCAAGAAAGACAAGGGCATGACACATATTTGAAATCATCAAGACTATTGCAGTAAACGACCCTGACTGACTTATCAGAGGTAAAAAGAAGATTTCATCTATACTCACACGCATGGGTAGAAAGGTTGAGGAGGCTTGATGTTAGAATATTTCTCCCATAGTCGCTTCTTACAACAACCACGGGAAGAGTAGGGATAGTTTATTCCACTCTACCGAAACTTAATATTTGTAAACATACATTGTAAGCCAAAAAGGGAAAAATCGCGTTGCAATATCGCAAACTGTACGGCTAGCACGAAAAACTTTTGAGTTTCTAAACGTTTGCGTATTCATATGCGTGAACTTAGTATGAGAAATGGTTGCACGAAACTTATTTTGAGAATCAAAATTGTCACGTCATCGTTTAATTCGAAGGTTGAGTATCGAATTTTGTCGAATACGCAAACGATTCGAAGACGAAAGTTGTTCATGCTAGAGGTACTGACCTGCATCGGAGTTCTCTGGGTACTTGTTGACGGTGCAGTACTTGATGGTGTGGGCGTGGTCGCCGGTGGCGCCGCAGCGCGGGCAGCGGAAGGCGCGGAGTACTGGGNGCACGGGACACAGCACGCGTCCGCGCCAGTCCTTGAGCGCGTGCGACGAGTAGCACTCCTCATTCTCGCCGTTGTTCTTGCAGAATGCACATTCCTGGAAAAGATATCGCGGTGAGAAATCGACGCTAGTAAACTTAAGGAAACCGTAAAAGCGTGGCCTTTTTACTAGGCAAATAAATCAACTTTGAAATTGAGCATAGGCTGGAAAGTTTCAGCACAAAATAATTTCATCACAATCGAATCCGAGCTACCTACATGGATAAAAAGAGAGAAACCCAACCAATCATCTCTTACTTACAGAAGTTTACTTATGTGTTGAAGCTATATAATGTAATAGAGTACGTAGCTCTCTCTAATTTTTTTTTATCCACAACAAGGAAGCTCTTGGCCTGTATCTCACCTGATGGCAAGTGATGATCAGGCTGAAGGTGGAAGCGAGCTTCACCCGGAATCCTCAACCACGGAGGAACTGGCTATCTTACCTCTTACTGCCGGAACACAACAATGCTGTTAGCATTGTTGTTATGGCGACAGACTTAGGTAAGATGGTGGTAGCTAGCCAGGCGGACTTAAAACAAACCCTACCACCAAACAAACTGAACAGAAAAATCTGCCCCCACTGGAAATCGAACCTGGGACCTCTGCGTCTGGTAGTCTTACCACTAGACCACAGAGGCGGTTCATTACATAAAAGCTTTAAGCTTGCTTTTTAAGTGAAGCAGCAAATTGAACGCACAGCGTTGAATAGAGCTGAATAGTTCGTATGTCATCCTGTGCGTTCACGCGCACTGTGAGACCTCATAGTAATGTTTGTAAATACGGGCGATAGGACTTACATTAGGCAGGGCGCGGCGCATGCGCTTATCGCTGCGGACCTTGGCGACCTCTTGCAGGAACTCGTAGAGCACGCTGGGCCGGATCGAGCGCAGCACCGACAGCTGTTCCCTGGTCAGCATCGACACGTAGTTGTTGGCCGACGACAGACCTGAGAAAACCACAATATATTTGACCGACTGAGTGACATTCGAATAAAATAAAATGGGTTGGTCATCAGGATCTCTCCTTTCTATCATCTATGTCTCCACTATCTCATCCAAAAGTCACACGCATCATGCACGCCACATAGCAATGTGAGTAGTTTGTTGCGGCGCTTCTTCTCAGCACTTGGCAATGTTGGTCTCGAAGCGCTGCAGGTAGGGTAAAAAGATTACGAGACATGTAGAGGCTCCTTATGAGCAAAATATTTGACGATTTGTAAGTACTATTTAAATAGTCTATCTATACAAATAAAAAAAATGACTTTGAATTTGAACCTACGAATGGGCGAAGCAGGCCCGCCTTTCTTTGGGCATTCGGCACGTGGCCAGCGCTTCAAGATCGAAGGGGCAACCACTGTTTCATGACAAATTGCTAAGTTCAAAAGGTCCCTCAAACTAACAGGGGCCCCCCGCCCCCAGATCTAACGTATTCTGTAGTCTACTTATTTATTTATTATGATTAACCTATCTCCATTTACAACATAATTGAACCGTAATATTTTGTTGCGATAATTTGGATTTTTGCATTCAAATAGGATGTATTCCTATTCCTATCCTATTCGGGCTAAATCTAGGATAAAATGTACCTAATTAAATATTTTATTAGGAAGACAAAATTTATTTACTTCACTTACTTTTGATCAAAAAGTCGAAAGTGTCCATCATCTCCCCATTACGGCCAGCCGTCACGGAGGAGCCGTCGCCCCAGAGGTTCGCGCTGGATGATGCCACGGACTCCGACCTGGTGTTACCTGCCAGTTTTCATACATTAAGTCATTTATCCCATGGGAACTGTGCAATTAGGATAGGTACAAATACGAGTACGAAAAAAACTACCTACTTAACTGTAAAAGAACTTTAAAATTGGTTAGTAAATATCGAAGTAAGTTCAGCAGGTACCTAATCCTGCTTCAAAACATTACTATCAGATCAGGAGGACGACCTTCTCTAATTTAACAGAAGCAAATGGAAAGAACAGATAATTTGAATAATATAATAATCGTCAAATACACACCCATATTGAAGTAATTTTGGGAATTTTGATCCATGTCGTCAAAGAGCAGTTCAGAGCCGTTCATACGGAAGTTCATGAGGACATCGTCCATATTTGCTGCCGTTGGAGCTGCAACAAAGAATACCTAATGAGCAGCTTCGTTAACTGGTAGCCATATAAATTACCACAACCTGGGACTCATATTATTTTTATTTAATTAAGCACCTGATTTAATTAGAATTACCTAGTACTCCGTAATTACCAAGACTGTACGTACATACATACTTAAAGAATTCATGTGGACCAAATTAAAACTTTATTTTACTGGTTCAAAAGTCGTTGCTTGAGATTTCAAAAACTATCCAACTGCAATTGTATAATCACCTTAACATTAAAACCTTAGGTCTGTAAAAATGAGCGTATGAAATGGCTAAATAATGGAAATAATCCCGTATGACAACAAAATAATTGCAAATATGGTTCTAATACCTGTGTCGGCAGCTCTCGGCTCCTGTTGCGCCAGGAGGTTCATGAGCTCGTTGCCACCACGCGCCTGGAAAGGAGGGGCCATCGGAGAAAACACGCCTTCCGATGGATTTGACATGTTTCTGTTGTCCGACGGTGCAAAACTTTCCTATGATGAAGAACATTCTAATTAATTCAATATTAAATAGATTAATGCTGTACCTCCCTCGTTTGACAAAAAATAACGTGCTCGCAACGTGTTTTCTATGATGTTGCATAAAATATTTAATATCCGTTAACTATGTTTAAAATCGGGTAACAGTTGATACCGCCAGATATTTATGTTGTAGCTTAAATTATTATCAATCACAAAATAAAATTTAAACATTTCTCATAATCACAAACTTTTACAACTTTTCCTCGATCGTAAATTTAAAACGTGGGTACGATGTTTTCTTCTTTACTTACTGTTGTTGTGGTAGCTTTTGCATCACTAGCAGTTGTAAATATCGGCTTCGTTTCTTCCATGGCGAAATTATTGTACGTGATTGAATCCATGACACAAAGAATAATTTAAATTGACTACCTTCAAGTCGCGCACTCGATGTATGAAAGGAGCGGTCGGGACTGGGCGGCCGCAATATATACGGATGTGGTATCGATATTATACAAATGTCTATGTTTGCAAACCACTCCCGTGCAGCAAGAACTTGAAAGTTTCGACTACCCTCACAATTTGTTATAAGTCGTAATTTAGCCGAGAGTTCTAGAAAGAATTTAAACTTATGTCGTATGTTTCGGGTAGTCTTATAATACATAGTTAAGTAATTGATTCGTCGGGCGGACCGCCCAACTCGCTGCTTGGAAATGTTCATAATAATCAACCTTTGGTATTATTAATAGTGGCGGGTTCTATTTAATAATATTGTACAATAATAAGCTAGCACCTAATTGTTAGAGTAATTTATTTATATATCTATAATCGTAGCTTTTAAATATAGCTAAAGTTGCTTAGTTACAATTTAAGCTTACCTCACAGTTGCTGTAATCAAGCCGCAGTCATTTGCGACTAGTTACCAATTTTATTTATTTAAAACATCCACATAAAACACAGTAGGTACCTACATAAGTAAATATGCGAAATTAATGCCATTGGGCATCCTCCGTCAGTACATAGTTACTTTTGCCTTCACATACTTTTATTGAAAACAGACTCAGTATTTAATTTAGCAATTTTTTATTTTATGACTGCAACCATTAACATGGATTTGCGGTTATCTAAGCGAAACTTTTTAATCGACTTCGTAAAGAGGAAAAGGTTTTTAAATCAGTTTATTTTTATTTTTTTAATGAGTGTTCCCCATTATTTTAAGACGCCTATATTTTATTGCCGAGAATCGATATATTTTTTTCAGAATCCTGAAAACCCTTTTACAATTTTATGCACCTATCTAATCGATGATTCTTTGATGCATTTAGGTATTTACTGAAAGTGTTGTTACATGTGTTTACATTTCTATGATTTATTACTTTCAGTGGATTTATAGCCACTATTTATTTATGACCAACGAACTGCCAACCTCCAATGGTTAACTGGAAGAGAATGTTCGCCTTTGTACAGGGTTTTATGTGCATACTGGATTACTAATGTTTGGCCAAAAAACGTTTCCCAAATTATCACATCGCAAACAACGTTTCGCAAATTTTCATTTGGCAAATTCTCATTTGGCAAAACCACTTATTGCAAACTTTTAATTCGCAAATGTCGTTTTTGGCATATTATTGTTTAGCAAATTATTGTTTGGCAAAGTATGTTTTGCCAAATGTTACATTTGGCAAAAATATTCCACGATAAACTATTTACAAAATAATTTGATTGGTGCATAGAATGGAATTATTTTGTTTAGTGTGTAGTTAATATAAAATTTGTTCTAAATTATTTTTCATATTTCATTCTTTTTATCGAAATTTCCAAATGATTCATTAACAATAGAGGTGATTCTAGCGCTCGGCGGCCGCTACCGCGGCACCGCGCCGTTAACCGCGCCTTCGCGCGGTTAAGGGTCACTGTTCTAACCTAACCTAACCTACTATTTTCTGCAATACCTACTTCCTGCAATCATACTATTTTCTGCAATCTCTTTGTTTTACATAAAATTCTTGTGAAAACCACGATCGTGGCTTATGCTTTGATTTGTGGGTAACGGTGGATAAGTAGGTGAAGTGTCAATTTGACCAAACAAATCATTTGGGATATAATATTTGGCAAAATAAAACATTTGCTATATAAACATTTGCCAAGTAAAATTTGGCCAAATGATAATTTGACCAAATGAATTAGTTGCGAAAAGTACAGTTCCTAAAAGTTTATTTGGGAAATGAAACTTTGGCGATAAGTTGTTTGCGAAGTGAAATTTGGCGAAAAGTAATTTGGCCAAACGGAAGGATACCGTGCATACTAGCTTTCCGCCCGCGGCTTCGCCCGCGTGGAATTTTGTCTGTCACAGAAAAACTTTATCGCGCGCGTCCCTGTTTCAAAAACCGGGATAAAAACTATCCTATGTTCTTTCCCGGGACTCAAACTATCTCTATGCCAAATTTCATCAAAATCGGTTGCGAGGTTTAAGCGGGAAAGCGTAACAGACAGACAGACAGACAGACAGACAGACAGAGTTACTTTCGCATTTATAATATTAGTTAGGATAGGATTAGGATAAGTTTTAAATAAATGAATGGTTACCATTTGTTAACACTGAATAAAATTAAATGAAACTACTTAACTCAATAATCAATTTTGTTCTTTATTTCATCAAATAGTTAATTCTAATTTAATCTAATAATAAGTACATTTATTGTAATTTATGAATTATACTTATACACATTAAAAAGTAGGTACCTACCTATTCATTTTCTATTAAAGTTGATAGTAAAAGGTGACGTATGAGGTAGGTACATTACATTAAAAATAATAATTAATAGCGAGGCGGAATTATTAACTACAAAAGAACAGATCAGTAAAATAATAATATTTTTCAATGATGATAACAGAACTTAAAACAAAGACATTATCAAATTATAATTATTAAGGATTTAAGCTAGCCGCTAATTAGGCGGTCACAGTATTTTTATTAATTCTTGCCTAAATTTATTTTATTTGATTCGCTCTGAACATAATAGATAGATGTTGTGGAAGGAAATGCCCAGCCGTTCGGGCCTGGCTTGTCATTAAACTTTACGCTTGAGGCTACTACCACAGGAATATTATTCACTTTGCTACGAGGCCATACCTATTACGACATTCGAATAACATGGGTTGGTCATCAGGATCTCTCCTTTCTATGTCTCCACTATCTCATCCAAAAGTCACACGCATATGCACGCCACATAGCAATGTGAGTACCTATACCTTATTTAGTTTAGGCTACAAACATCTGGAAAGCACCCACAATTTGAGTAAATTGTTTTGATGACGGATTGAATCAAGGAATGGTCCAGGTTTCAACCTGTCACCATAACGATTTAAAGTTTACCAACTTTTGTAGACCGAACCTAATTTTCGAACCCCGGTTTCTGAGTTAAGCGTCAAAATTAACTTCTAAACTTTGTTGACACTAATGAACATAAAAAATCATAGTAAATCACCTAACAAAACAAATACTGAAAAATATTAGAATAAAAAGCAAATTGGATGTAGGACCTCAGAAACCGAGGACTAGCAGTGGTACCTCGGCATATTCTTGAATCAGCCTTATAATCTAAAAAACTTATCGTAACTAAACAAAAAAAAAGCGGATGATGACTGGTAATGAAATCTAAATTCGATTTAGTCCGTCAGACAGATAATAAAAATAAATATCTTTGGAAATTTACACTGCGCTTCTAGTCCCAAACTAAGCAAAGCTTGTACTATGGGTACTAGACAACGGATATAAACATACTTAAATACTTTTTTTTTTGTAAATACATACATATTATACATAGAAAACACCCAGTCCAATACAAACAAATATGTTCATGCACACAAATGTTTGTACTGTGCGGGAATCGAACCCGCAACCTCCGGAATAGTAGTCCGTTTCGAACCACTACACCAAACAGCCGAAAAAAAATATTGGGCACGTATCGAATAATTACATACTTAATTGAGATTAAAGGTCGTGTGACGTCACTTTTAAGTAAAAATTCTACATAGGCGTGACGTAACACGCCATTTCAACTCTATGTAGTAGCTGTGGTAGTATGTGGTAGTAGTGTGTTATCATTTAATTAAGAAAGAAAATAAAAATACGAGTATTTTCTAATTAACTATCTGACGGACTAATAATTGAAATTTTGTCATCTAGCCTAAGGCTCATTTTCTTGTCAAAACCCCCACAAAGTTTGTATTTGTTGGTCATTACAAACAAAATTAAATACTTTCATTTCGTCATGATAGAACACTGCAGATTAAAAGGTGATAATAAAAAAAGTAACTTTGGTCATATAATCCTTTCTGTAACGTAACTAAATTTTTGTTTTAAAAACTTTTATAATGTGTATTTGTGATTTTATACTACAAAAAATACATAAAATATTATTAGAATTAAAAACATTAAAATTACATAACAAATAATTAAGTATGCCTTTATCTCAACCGATAGAAAAAACGATCATTTCAGTTTGTTAAATAAAGCGGTCCTGAAATTCAGCCAATCTGAGGCCTAGATGTATCTTGCTTTTGTTGATGTGACTTTATGAGGTTTCGATTTCGAAATAGGGCCCTTTGGGGTGTGTGTGAATAGCTGCTGGCGACGTGGAATGCAGCTTATGTAAAGACGAGAGGAGTCCCCACATGCTATCTTTTCTTAATGCTAATTTCAGTCACGCTGCCGGGCTGGCGGCATCTGTGCACGTATGTGCTCACCGACTTGTCGTCCTCGTCGATCGCGCAGTTCAATCCTTCCTCGCAAATGCAACTGAAATTTACAATAAAGGTGCTTAGTTGACTTATCAGATGACAATTATCAGAAGATTTGTAGACTTTTCAGAAGATCTGTGTAGAAGACATAGAACCTGGAAGGTACAGGTTGAGCCAAAATTACTGACACGTGTAAATTAACATAAAATGTCGCTTGTTCTCAGCTCAGTTTTAAATGATAGTTATTATGACTGAATCTTATCTAAAGAAACTTGCTTCATTTTCAAGTCTAGGCTTTTTCTAACCTTTGCTTTCGTCGTAGTCGTGACAAGGAACCCTAAAATTATTAGCACTAGATAGCTGTAATTTTGTACAAGTACATGTAAGTAGTTACCTATTATTAATCACGCCGACTGATTAAATAAGTGGTAGAATAAAATTTTGAAAAAAAATGTTTAGGGTAAAGCATGTAAAGTGGGGATGATTTTTCTTTCATCTTCTACCCCATCGTATGGGGTATCGTTGGATAGGTCTTTTAAAATGGCTTAGGGGTTTCTAAGACTATTATTCGATTTAGAAATCCGTTTGCAAAATATTAAAGTTAAAAGTGCCAATTTTTGGTCGAGTAGGGCGTCCCCCTTCTAAAAACTAAACTGTTGGCTAGAAAAATCTGGAAAAATTCATAATAATAGTGCTTTTTATGAACTTTCAAGGAAAACTATAACGGTTAAGATAGATCAGTTAGTTTGAGAGTAATAGTAGTTTAAGCGCGTGTCACGACACGCACTTGGCTAATTTTTGGGTAAGAAAATATACAAGACTTTCTACAACGACTGACGGGTGCTTGTAGAAAGGCTCTATAAATATTAGGCGTTGGCTGTAAGTTAATGGTTAGGTTACTCACTAGCCGTTGACGACGAACATATCGATGATCTTGATTTGGGGCTTATATATGGACCAGCCGCAGGGGGTGGTCGGGGCGCAGATGTTGGGAGCCGCGGTGGTGGTGCTGCTGCTCGCGGGCAACTCCTCAAGGTCCACGGCTCGCTGCAATACACAACAAGTGAACAATCAAATAAGAATTAAAGTGAATTCTTTGCCGCGTGGTTCTGGCACCTGGTAACGGAGAAAAGGGCAACTCTCACCCGCTCTACCCGTGGATAAGAAGTAAATTAGAGAGAGTCGAACTAAATGATTAAAATGACCTGATGATGATGAAGATGAATGAACAAGTGTATTTAATTGAATTGAGTTGTTTAAAATCCACAGAACAATCGCGTCCTTGAACCGCGAAGGCTCTGTGCATTCCGCAATTATTTTTCGGACAACAAAAACGAAACTTTTTTTCAGCACTTCCATGAAAAATGTAGCGTTTATTTTGAAACCAGCAAATAATACGTTTAAAAATATATGTATTTCTGANTAGTGTAATAAACCAAACTTATTATGACATGTATACCTCCAAACTCAGTCTGAACTGAGTTACGAGCATCAGACGTTTGATGATTTTCATACTAGATTTGCTGTTTGAGCGCAAGTTTTGTAAGAAATTGCAACAAAATAATAACATTGTATGTGTAAACAAACAATACCATCCATTAAAGGCTCCAGACATCAGTATGCAGCAGAATCAGCGCAATAAAAAAATAGCGCAATATTTTGTTGCAATAGGCTAGTTGCCTAAAAAAATTTTTTTAGTCCGTAATGTTTAATATCAAAAAATATTGGACACATATATTTTTATTTGTCAATCTAACAAATAATTACATAGTTATGATGCGTTGAAGTTGCGCACGACGTCACAACGTGCGGCATTTTTAAGCAAGCGTTGACGTCACGGGCCTCTTCTTATGAACTTTGGGGCGCTTTATCTCTTTAAATTTTCATTAGTTTGAAAAAGTGNCAACAGCAAAACGTTCGGAATTTATCAAAAGTAAAATTTATGAATGAAAGTAATGTTCGATTGAAAAACGCAACGTGTCATTTAAAGATTAAAGAATTCCTAATCTATTCGTGCAAAAATCTTTTAAATTAACATAGCCGTTTTGGAGGAGTAGGGAATTTAAGTGAAAAATCGATGTCCCGTATTTATTTTTTTAATCAAAAACAAAGAGACGTAGCGAAAATTCAAACGTCACAAATGTAGTCCTTGAACTGTTGTATAACATATATTTTTTCCAACTATTTCTATCCAGCAGTAAAAGAGGAGTAGGCTTTACAAAATGCCCATTTGCCGCGGATTGAGGACTCTAATCGCCTTAAAAGTATTTCTGAAAGATAAATCTGCCAGATTTTACTAAAAGCAATGTACCTACCTACCTAACTGCCATTCCAGTCAATTGCATAGCAGTATTGCACTGGTCTAGGCAGCCACTGTTTTCAATAAAAACTCTAAATTCCTCGAGAATAGAGTGTGTTCCTGCAGGAACGGCATTAAATTAAAAACACTAAAATCTTTATTCCAAATCCCTAGAAAAAGAACAAGTTGAACGGTAAAGATAATAATTATCATCAAGTTTTCTGCAAATGTTGGTATGTACCTACTTTCTTTAGTAAAAAACTATCAATTTTGCCCTTTGTGATATAATTTTAATGACACACTTATCACATACGTATATGTACATACTTGAGTGGAAAAGAAATTACGTAGTATTATAGAAGATAAAAGGAGCATTAGCACTAATAAATACTATTATTTATTTCATAAAGTTGCGTCAGATGATAATAGAGTTAGCTGATGATAGTGAAATAATAAGTATCTATTCGTCATCGTCAGTGCCGGNTTGCTTTAAGTTTAAGGCAAGATTAAGTTATTTGATAAGACAATGGTTGAGACCATTAACTATTAGGTAATTCTTAAAAATCATAAAAACCTCTAAATTATTTTATAGACCTGAAAATCTAGTTTTCAACTTGCTGCAAATATAGATTTTTACAAGCACTCCTAATCTACCCAATAATTAAATAAATTCTTAAGTAAATAAGTTATTAATTAGTTGATCAATTTAGTTCGCGAAATTTACTTAGTGACAGCATCTAGGTACAATTCTACACTAACTAATATTAATTTACTTAACGTTGGAGCGAAGCCATTTTGGGAATGGTATTTTTTCGTACGGGAATTCGACCGCTTACTTATTGTAGCGTAGCGTCATTCGAAATCACGATGCGCGCTCGCCCTTGAACGTATCCGACATTCTAGAACAGGGATGGCGAACCTGTAATGTATCAACGTGCCACCTTTCTAAATATTTTTTGATGTAGACATAGACGTGACATCAAAATAACACCTAATGCTATCAATGAGGTGTAGTATCGTAGGTACAAGTGACAGGACCTGACTCTACAGTGCAGGCCCGCCGCTAGCTGTTTCGTCGCCCGCGTGCAAAACCGATTATGCCGCCCTACGACTACCTACTTACCACAGTATATAGTACTTACTAAGTTTGGTCAAAAAAAGGCTAATTTACTTAACCCATTATAGACTGAGTTTTCTTAAAGTGTCAGATTTTTGTTTTTTTGAAATGTGTTCATAATTATGGTCTACATAATGCTATACAAGCATAAAAAAAATTATTCGACCTGTAATCTGGAAAAAAAATGCTGGTACCATATGGTACCGCTAGCCTCTTACCGTGTCAGTTGGTTAAAACATAACTTTATCATAGACTTTATAAAAATTGGGTAAATTATATATTTTATTATTATTATAATATGTATTAATATACAAGCAAATAACAGGAGTGATATTAAATGTAAAAAAAATGTATATTGGGTAAGCAATATTCATTTTTATCTTTGAATATTCAAAAATTTGGAATGGAGCTTGGCATTGCACGCTGCACATAGCCCCACGTTACATTTTCTATACTCTGATATTGTTCGAAAGTTGCAATTATCTTGAGTTCCTTCTATAAATTTCTGCTTCGNACAAGTGTATTTAATTGAATTGAGTTGTTTAAAATCCACAGAACAATCGCGTCCTTGAACCGCGAAGGCTCTGTGCATTCCGCAATTATTTTTCGGACAAACAAAAACGAAACTTTTTTTCAGCACTTCCATGAAAAATGTAGCGTTTATTTTGAAACCAGCAAATAATACGTTTAAAAATATTATACGTTTAAGGCGATTAGAGTCCTCAATGACCTTGGGCGTTTGACCTTCACGCCGCGAGCAACACCCGCGTACCCCGCACCAAAAACTCCGATTTGACACTGATCATAAATACACGGGCATAGGTAGATACAGAATAGAAGCTCTTTCTTCATACATTACTGCCTATTATTTTAAACTTAAATTGATGAACCTTGATGTCGGTGTCATTTAACTCAGGNCTAATTTTCATAGTGGACTGTACTATGCGATAAACATGTCAGTCAATTTGACAACCTTTGTCGGAAACATTATTCAATGAAAATATTGTCCGAACCCTTAGTATTTCTCTTCGACAAATACTTTAACAAATTGTAAACCATTTTTTCACATTCACAAAATCAATTGCGCACATTTAAAATAAAGTTTGTTTACACTTTGACAGCAATAGACTGACATGCAAGGTGACATGACAATGAAGTTTTCAGTTACTGTTGCCATTAAAAGAAATTAGTACCATTAGTTTTCCGCAACANCTACAGTGGCACTAATTGATGAGGGCAAATACGATAGCCCTTAATCTAAACACATTATTTACTATTTTATTTTATAGTACACTAGCTTTCCGCCCGCGGCTTCGCCCGCGTGGAATTTTGTCTGTCACAGAAAAACTTTATCGCGCGCGTCCCTGTTTCAAAAACCGGGATAAAAACTATCCTATGTTCTTTCCCGGGACTCAAACTATCTCTATGCCAAATTTCATCAAAATCGGTTGCGAGGTTTAAGCGGGAAAGCGTAACAGACAGACAGACAGACAGACAGACAGAGTATTACTTTCGCATTTATAATATTATAGTTGGGAAGTTGGGATTAGTTGGGATTTTGTGATTGGTGGCGTGTCCTAAAATTAAATATTGTGTCGAGTGCCATCATTGGCACGCGTGCCATTGGTTCGCCATCCCTGTTCTACACCATGAATGAACAGAAGTGATGACGAAACCGTATCATCCACGTGGAATCGCGATTGTATCAGCAGTAAACAGGAAACAAATACGACGCCGCGTATTTTCGGTCGTTGACCACTAGTCTGTTTATCAGATGTCAGATACTCTTGGGCCTTCGCAAGGCGGGTCACGAAAACAGTGAGTCATCTAACGAACTTGTAGAAATAGATTCCTTCAGACTACGCCGTAGTTCTTAATATAAAGTCGACCTTTACTGTAGGCTGAGACTGTCAATCGAAGTATGATTCAGTAATATTCCATAAACCATCTCAAGAATCATGCTATGTTAATTTTGTGACGTAAATAAGTAGGTACTCGTAAGTACCATGCGGGCGATGAGTTGCTTGAAGGATAGATTTAATTTTAATCTCATACTACCTAACTTGGTTTAGGGCAATAAAAGCCTTTACTATAATTTTTAAGCTTCACAAAGTCAAACTGTAAATTCCTATTTTTAGCCTTCAGTGGAAATATTTTGCACTAGCTTTCTGCCCGCGGCTTCGCCCGCGTGGAATTTTGTCTGTTACAGAAAAACTTTATCGCGCGCGTCCCTGCTTCAAAAACCGGGATAAAAACTATCCTATGTCCTTTCCCGGGACTCAAACTATCTCTATGCCAAATTATGCGGTGGTTTAGGCGTGAAAGCAAGACAGATAGACAGAGTTACTTTCGTAGTATATATTTTCTAATTGAGCGGAAATGAAAAACAACGGTTTTCAAATTATAAATAACTTGAAAAATCAAAGTGCCTAAGGGATCGTGGGTTCGATTCCCGCCTTAGGCAGTTCGAGTCTTTCAAGTTATTTATAATTTAGTTTGAGATGCAACTCTTCGCTAAAAATTTTAATAACTACGTTTTTCGAAGCCTACATACGCCAATGCAGCTTTCAGTTTATTTCATGCATTGTTTTCAGTGGAACAGGCATCAAACTGAAAACCTACGGTTAACAATTGTGGTGTACAATGCTATTGCGTCATGTTTTATCTATTAGGTAAGAATATATAGGTACTTTCAGTTATTGTAGGTACCTTCCAGATTCTTGGGAATTCAGGAGTCACTCTTGACCATTCTGCCTCTAACTTTAGTGTGATTGCATTTGCAGGCAAGATAACAAAACAAACGTATTTAATGCATCATAATTTTAAATTTATACGTAAATAAATATGGGCATTTTAATGAGCACAAGCTTGTACTTGTACGTAATTAGTATCTCTTCATTTTCTTGTAATCACATTAAAAACAAAACGTGTTGTGTGGCAGCCTGTTATTATAGTGAACTTCCAGCCTTTATTAATAATTTGTTATTTAAAACAGCCAGGCTGTTGTTTTGGAAATTGTTGTTTTGTTCTGGAACTTGCCAAGGCAATTTAAAATGGTATCTCAATAGGTACTGGGAGGTAAACAATATGCGGACCTTGTTGTCTACATTAAGTTTACGATGTCTGTCTGGTAGGTACTTATTTCATTACTCATAATCTATTGGGATCTTCAAAAAATGAAATGATCTCTTAGTAAAATTAATTCTGAATGATGTACGAGTATGATTGGCATTCAATGGTTAGTGCTTCTACTCGTAATGTCACCTAAATATAAGTCATTTGTTTAATTAACCCATTTAGCCCTACCGTACCCTATGTGGTACGGTATCTTTTTGAAAATATTTCGAAGTACCAAATTGTTGTTAACTTGTAAAAATGATTGAGACAGTAAGCTTAAAGTGATTATTTTGGTGCAGTCCTGTTGTCCCCCCTGCTTGGCCCCCCTAGGGGAGCCAACAGGATTTCGAAATCCTGTTGTCCCCCCTGGCTAGGGGAGACAACAGGACTAGATTTATAATCAATGATTTGAGGACTGTTGTCCCCCCTGGCAAAATTATTTAAAAGCCATAAAATTTTATAACATTTAAGAAGGACTGGACTANGGACAACAGGATTTCGAAATCCTGTTGGCTCCCCTAGGGGGGCCAAGCAGGGGGGACAACAGGACTGCACCATTATTTTACATAAAAATATTTAAAAATATGTTTTAACAAGTGGTTTCGGAAATATTTATGAAATTCCTCGACAGAAAACCAAAAAAATATTTACAATGTATTTAAGAAGGTATAATTTCATATTATTCATGGTAAATTATGTTATTTATCAATTTTATTTAAAAAATAGAGTACAATAGATATCATGACTACAAAAAAAATATTATTAAGATTATTTTTATACGGTTTATTCCAGTCTAAAATAGGTGTACCCTATAAGGTACAGTGGGTCTATGCATGAGCAAATCATGCGAAAAAATAAAATTTTATTTTTATTATTTTTATTTGTTTTAGGCTATTGATGCTTCACTATATTGCCACAACTCGTGAAAAATTTGATAATTTCAGCAAACAAAGCAATCTTGGTATTTTTCTACTGCTGTCTTGTCAGATGACCACTAATGATGATCAGACTGACGAAAATTTAGGCGATAAAGATAGTGTCAATGTAAATAATAACCCTCAGAGTTTTCTTCGATGGATTTGCTAAGTTTCCATCGTTGTGTTGCTAAATGCGATTATGGATAGCACGAAACGTAACAAATCAGAAGAAGCCAAGTCTTCTTCAGCTATCCTCACTAACTTCGGAGAAGGTAGGAAAAAAGAACCAAATGTGGTTAGTATCACAGAAAACGTCTTACAAGATATGCCAAATCTGATACCAGTGATTATGTGATTTTATTTTTATTTTATATCATACAAAAATAAATAAAAATCTTCTTTGAACAACGACTATGTTTTGCATGCTTATAGACCTACTGTACCCTATATGGTACGGGCTCCCCACAGCCCCCTATTTATGGATTACTAGCTTTCCGCCCGCGGCTTCGCCCGCGTGGAATTTTGTCTGTCACAGAAAAACTTTATCGCGCGCGTCCCTGTTTCAAAAACCGGGATAAAAACTATCCTATGTTCTTTCCCGGGACTCAAACTATCTCTATGCCAAATTTCATCAAAATCGGTTGCGAGGTTTAAGCGGGAAAGCGTAACAGACAGACAGACAGACAGACAGACAGACAGACAGACAGACAGACAGACAGAGTTACTTTCGCATTTAAAATATTAGTTGGGATTTTTTTAAATAATTTTTTCATGGTTTTTAGGCTTCCTTCTGTAAGTTTTTACTGAAAAATCAATTTTTATTTAGAAAAATAATTATCGGTCTAAATGGGTTAACAAGAAAAAATTAAACAAAAATTAAAGTAGAGCAAAGCGATCATGAGGAATGACAAATAATAAGTGATTATTGGTGTAATTTGCTTACCACATCATGAAATCTAATCCAAGATCTTTATTTGGTCAGTACCTACCAGATTCACGAAGCAATTTGAATAAAAGTTGTTAACTTCAGTATCAATAAATCATTGTCATCGGGTATTTTGACGGGTGAATAATTTTATATTTGGCGAATTAATTAAAGTACTGTTAATTGTTTCTTTTTATCGCACACATTATAATAAACAATGAATATTTAAACATCTTTATTATTAGTGCCCAATTTGTACACCTACAAACATCGCTTGAGTTTTCCAGTTAGCTTCTACAGCGTAACCAAAAAAAGAGCTTATGCAAGCAAAAAGCTTCTAACTACGCACGTAGGTACCTACTGCACTTGCCAATCGACCTATTGAATTGTGGCTGAATCGCGACGATGAGGAACCATAAATTTATTTTTAGCCCAAAAACCGGTAACTGTCGCAAATTTAGCTGCTGAGCTTGTTTACAGAACTTTTGTATAAGCTCAGGAGCTTTATTTGTACGAATTCAGTGTTCAATGTAACAAAGTGACTAATTAGTGATAATTTAGTCGTGAGCCTTATACACAAGTGCTTTTACAGAAATGGTGGTTGATTTTGGGTTTACCTACTTCCTTCGGGATCAGCCCACGCGCAAATCGATCTATGTGTCTAGCTACCCCAGACAGAGGCAACAACCAAGAAAATACCATTTTCGGTGTCAGATTTCAGTCTGTAAAACTTCAGCCATTTCAGCTTTAAAGTCCTTACGTTTCAGCAATAGTACCGTATAGTATTGCCTAAAACCTTTACCTCTGTTTCAAAGTTACAATCAGTTTTTTTTTCTTTGAGAATTTCTAAATATCTTATGCCCAAGTCATATAGTAGTGGAGCTTACTTTGTACCCTAGAAATGGGTCGCGTAGTTAGCGCGCACAAGTGGCTTGCTAAGCCAGGTATAGGCTACGTGTTGTATTATATTTTTGACATATTCCAGATCTGATTATTCTGCTTGAACTGAAGAGATAGCGGTTGCAGTACGCCTGACACAAAAATTTAAAATCTAATGTAGGCCTACCTACTTATTCGTAATAAAAGCTCGGTCTGGAAACATGTTATTATTTATCAATTTTATTGAAAGGTTTTATTTTTTTATATAAAGTATTTAATAAAGTTGTAGAAAGTTACTTAGTTATGACTTAAACTTTTACATAGTTTATGACGTATGACGATGAGATTGTAAAGAACCCTCTGCACGCGAGTTCTTAACAATTGGCTGGTTTTTGATTGATTTGTTTTGATACTGTAAAAAAAGTCCTACATTTCTGAGAAAGTGATAGTAGCTAATTATTTTTTATCGATCGAATAAAGATTTTTCTTCTTTTAAATAATTGTTGTTTCTTAACCAATATCATTTAAGTAAGTTTGTTTTTAATTTTTTGAGACAATCTAACCAATGCATTTACAACTTTTTTTTCTGTTGCATTATTTTTCGGTTAGGACGCCCAACTACATAATAATATGTAGCAAAATAATACTTCTGCGAAAGTTGAAAGTTGACATAACATTTCATATCATAAAGTAGGAAATCTCGCATAGCACTTTGCAATATTATTGATTTGAGTCATGCACTGTATTCATCCTGAAAATATACTCAACTACCTATTCTCATAGTCATAAATCAATAAATCTACCCCCTAAAAAATTATAACTAGCACAGGTAAATAAATAAAATTTACTCATGTGACATGCACGGATTTATGAATTTGAAATTAGGTACGCATTATAAAATCAAACAAACAATTACGCATTTACGGGGACCAAATAAATTACTTTGAAACGTAATATCTACGTGCCTACTAACATGCTGTTACCGTGGGATTAGTAATGTTGTTGTGTATTAATAGAAAAAATGTAATCTGAGTGTATAATACATGTAATAAGCGTACTAATTAGGTACATCATTGTAATAAAAAAAATGACGATTATAAAATGAAAGGGTTTTTGGAGAAGAAAGTTTGAGGTGTATCTAAATGAAGTGGTAATGAAAAAACTCACCCTCTCTCTTGGCACCATGGCTGTGGCGAAAGCGCACAGGACTAGCAGGAGAATGAGCACCTTCGTCATTGTCACAACGCGGGTAGGGAACATAAAATGCAACGTGCGGGTGTGCGATGCGCGCAGGATCGTGCTAGAGTGGCGAGACCGCGGCCGGCGCACACTATAAGTAGGCCTGGAGGGCCCCGCTAGGGAGAGTGCACCGCCACATTTCCCGGGCCGCCTATGCGAGAAAAACGCTCGATCCCGGTATAGGAAACGATGATACTCGAATCGTTGCAGATACCTGTTGTTTCCAGTCGGTCTGGCTTGAAAAAGCTTTTACGGCTTCAACAAAACCCTAGATATATAGCTATTTTCCATTTAATTTTATCATGTTTGGAAGCAGTCGTGGAACAAATTTCATTGTTGATTTTCACTGAGAGGTGTCCTCTTGAACGTTGGATGAATTATTGATTTTTCTTTTAATATCGAGGCTGGATAGGTACAATGAATAAATTAATATCCTTTTAATGAACAGTTCGCTCGCTACTTTGCCTTTTAAAAGAAATGCCTATTCATTTAGATTTTAGAACAAATACAGGATGGAAACGATTTAGTGATCTCACTCGATTATTTCTAAACTATACAAGATATAAAAAAACTAGTTACTGATCCTGAAAGTTCTTCATGAGCTCTATCAAACGGTATCAACAATGGTTACAGAATGAACTGTATCTATCCGAAAATTTAATGGTTCCAGGTTCGGTTACCGTTTTAGGTTAGCACTTTCAGGACCTTTCAGGACAGTAAGTATAGTTTAGAAATAATCAAGTGAGATCACTTGTCGTTTCCAACTTGTACTTATATTCGTTCGTTCGTTTCAGCAAAATGACGTCCACTGCTGGACAAAGGCCTCCTCCAAGGTTTTCCACAATGCACGGTCCTGCGCTGGAAGACCTGTATATACCGAAAAAAATTTTTCGTTACCATTTAATACTGCATTGCTTGGCTGGCCTGTGACCCTTTTAAGAAGTGATAGGTAGGTATATTATGGGGACACAAAATAAGTATTCATAAAATACTTACTTTTTTGAGTTTGAGATAAGTAGCATTTTTTGGGATACAACCTTAGTATTAATTAACTATTTGACTAATGAATTAATGTTTAATAGTTATTATTTTTAATATGATTTTACGCACGCGGAGTTTTAAACTAGTTACTTAAATAATAAAAATCCGGGAATGTGATGATGCGGACATCTCTAATTTTAAAACAAAATCAACTACTACAGCTGGCACGAGCGAATAATATTACACTTAATTGCTATTTTAAATCATATGAATGAAGTAAACTAATGACATGTAAACATACTACTGAGCAGTAGCAATTTAATACGATAATGTGCCTACGTCGGCATTCAATGTAAACATTGTTGTTTTGTTATATTATTATGAGACATCTTTAATTCATTACCTACTACAATAATCATGAATGACCCATCTAAAAATATAAAGTTTTTGAGAAGGTCAGACTAATCCTTAAGTTTCATTACCTTATAAAATGCACGTAAGTATTTTAAGACCTATTAGTTAGTTACTTATTTAGGAATATTGGCCCTATAAGAAACTAACACTTTTTTATAATGTATCTAGTAATTACTTAATATTTTTATCATTATCTACAATTACTTACTTTGGAATGGAATAAATTAATAAAAAAGTTTTATTTTTATTTTAAAAAGGTTTAAAAATCCCTATAAAAATCGGTTTACATCTATTAGGTTTGTCAAAGGTGACTAAGGTAATTCTGTGAAATAATTAAATTAATCTCGTAAATATTGTTGACTGACGAGCTTTATCATAGTTACAGATACGAGGAAAAATACCTACATAAAGTATTTACGTAAATGTATTTTTAGATTATAATTTTAAGAAGATTATGGCAGTTGACATTTACTTAACCGATTATCTACTAAAAATAGGGATCGCAAAACAAATAAATATACTTTCGTGTCAGAGACACGTGAAATTAATAAATATTAATGAACTAGCTTTTGCCGCGGGTTCACCCGCGTGAAATTTTGTCAAAAACCGGGATAAAAACTATCCTATGCTAGGTATGTCCTTTCCCGGATCTTTATGCCAAATTTCCAATCAGACAGACAGACAGAGTTACTTTCGCATTTATAATATTATATTAGTATAGATATGTTATTCTGGGTTATAAAGAATAATACTGTAAAGTTCATCAAAATCCGTTCAGTAGTTTTTGCGTGAAAGAGTAACAAACATCCATCCAGACATCAAAACTTTCGCATTTATAATATTAGTAGGATTATACGCCACCATCATAGATGTACCTACCATAGGTTCATGTAACGGCCGGTTCACATAATAATATGTCTCCGTTTTACTGTTCCGTTTTATCGTGTACGTTTTTTGTATGTATTACTGTATACAGAATACTGTGTCATGTGTGAAGTCGCTCATACAACTATACAGTGTGTCCGGGCATGTAGTGATCAAACTTTAAGGGCGTAATCTATGGACAATTGTATCGGTGAAAATACTTTAAATTTGGGGCTTGACCTATTTCTCGCATATTTACAAGGATTTAAGTTTTTAATTTTAAGTTTTTACCTCTTCCTTCAAAAACAAGTGATAGCGTGGGTAGTTTAACATTAATAAGCAAAAATTTTATATCATGCGATAGCCAATAAAATTATCTATTAGTAGAAGTAGAAAACAGATACAAGTTTCATACATTTTAAGGGTGTAAGAATGGATTTAATTAGAAATAAACATGATTTTTTTCACATCTTTTTCAGTTATTTCCCAACACAAGAAAAACCAGGTCGTTAAGGTATGTTTTATTTGCATTTTATTATTAGTATTTGAGCTATTCTACAAAACGAATGTAAATTTTTTAGTCTACGTCTATTAGTTTCGACGTAATTGTTGAACAAAGATACCCCTTCCCAACGGTTTCCATAGCGCACGCGACATGCGAAAATGCACTGCCTGAAAGAATCACACAACCTATTCCGATTACTATGGAAACCGCTGGGAAGGGGTATCTTTGTTCAACAATTACGTCGAAACTAATAGACGTAGACTAATAAATTTACATTCGTTTTGTAGAACAGCTCAAATACTAATAATACAATGCAAATAAAACATACCTTAACGACCTGGTTTTTCTTGTGTTGGGAAATAACTGAAAAAGATGTGAAAAAAATCATGTTTATTTCTAATTAAATCCATTCTTACTCCCTTAAAATGTATGAAACTTGTGTCTGTTTTCTACTTTTACTAGTAGATAATTTTATTGGCTATCGCATGATATAAAATATTTGCTTATTAATGTTAAGTTACCCACGCTATCACTTGTTTTTGAAGGAAGCGGTGAAAACTTAAAATTAAAAACTTATATCCTTGTAAATATGCGAGAAATGGGTCAAGCCCCAAATTTAAAGTATTTTCATCGATAAAATTGTCCATAGATTACGCCCTTAAAGTTTGATCACTACATGCCCGGACACACTGTATACGCCATCGACGAAAAAAAAACGTACACGATAAAACGGAACAGTAAAACGGAGACATGTGTGAACCGGGGGTAAGTGTAACTGCGGCGAAATATCATTATTTACACCACTGCAGACGCAGAGCAAGAACCAATGATTTCCAGATTGGCCGGTTGGATGCGGCCTGCTTTCAGCGCCTTCCTGCTACCTTTGCCGGCGGTACGTTGTCTTCACTCCAGAACCTTGCTGCCCCATCGGCCATCTGTCAGTGCTAGCTACTGTGCCTTGCCCATTGCAATTTCAGCTACAGGTTGCTAAGCTAATCCGTCGGGCTATGACAGCGATTTTAGTTCGTTCTATGGATCTCCTAATTGATAGTTACTANTCACACTGTATTATGTAGGTATTATAAGAAGTTGTTCCAGCAATTGTAGGTCCCCAAACTTTTTGGTATGTAGGTACCTCAGTAGGTACCATGACCATGGTCTTAGATTTTAAGTGGACCCAAAGGGAGCAGCCTCCCTAGACAAAGTGACATTAGTAACAGTTTTAAATTCCTATGTTAATTCGCACCGGTTAGTAGAACAGGGAGGTGAACAGTTTAATCTAAAAGCTCTGTACCTAACAGGATATTGTGTAACTATTACATAATCTGTGATATTGTTTACTTATTTTAAATTCTGTTTTGTCACGACTTTTAATTTTAATGTCCTTACAAAGTCATCTTTTAATCTTAAGTACCCAAGGACAGACTTCTGTCTTATTATTGTGACTTTTTTTTATCAGTTCCGTTTTATTACCTAAGTAGGAAAAATAGGGGTCGATTGGGCTATAATTCATTTTAATGCGTTTTGTGATAAAACTATTATTTACATAATTTTTAATCAGTTACAAAACATTCAGGTACTTACAAGCGTTAGATAACCGCAGGGAGTTAATTTAATGTTTTGTGNGACTACCCTACCAATATCACACATTGGACTTGGATCTATTTTGTAATTATATTTTTCAAAAACAAAACTTAACCAGTACCTATCTTTTACTTACCACCACACTTTTAAGTAAATTGCAATTCTGCAATTTACTAAAATACTTATTAATTTTAGAGCAAATTGCAGAATTATTTTGTAGCTGTCTTATCATAACAGATCCCTTACAAAATTTTATTGAAGGTAGGTACCTAGGTACTAGGTAGGTACTTGCTCATTCCAAGAATGGGAATCTTTAGTTAATCAAGTCAGTTTTCATCATCATTGATCATCACCATCTTAGCCATACGGACGTCCGTCCACTGCTGAACATAGGCCTCCCCCAATGTTTTCCATGTTACCCGGTTGGTAGCGGCCTGTGTCCAGCGCTTTCCTGCCTACCTTTACGATATCGTCGGTTCACCTTGTGGGTGGACGTCCCACGCTGCGTTTTCCGGTACGCGGCATCCATTCCAGAACCTTGCTGCCCCATCGGCAAGTCAGTTTGCTTTTGGCAAATCACTGAATTTTTTACGCTGAACGCACCGCGCACGCGTCGCGTTGTATGCACGCGTGTTTCCTTTCAAGTTTAGGTACACAAATGTAAGCTCCGTCTTTTAGTAGGTGATCAAATCATGATTTAATGATTCGCATTAAACACCTTGTGATTTTTTGT